TCTACAAATTGAAACAGATTGAAATCCACCACTTTGGGTCATTCCAGTCAGATTCCAGAGGATTGTAAATATATTGTTTAGCTGAAGTCTGTTTATAAGTTGCTCTGAAAATATATATGATTAGAACAATATAATCCATCCATCCATTTTCTGTCATGCTTTATCCCAGCTGGGGTCGCAAGGGATGCTAGTGCCTATCTCCAGCTGTCCCCCGGCAGAGGCGGGGTGCACCCTGGACAGATCACCAGTCCATTGCAGGGCAACACAGAGACAAACAACCATTCAAGTACACACTCACACTTAAGGAGAATGTAGAGAAGCAAATTAACCTAACAGTCATGTTTTTGGACTATGGGAGGAAGGCCGAGTACCCAGAGAGACCCCACACATGCTCAGGAAGAGCATGCAAACTCCATGCAAAAAGACCCCAGGCAAGGATTTGAACCCAGAACCTTCTTGCAGCAAGGTAGCAATGCTACCCAATGTGCCACTGAGCAGCCTAGGACAATATAATGTCATATAAAGACCTTAGGTTACTGTGTTTACACATTTGCCAACTGTCTCATGAAAAATAAACGGTTCAACATTTAAAAACAAATGTATGTGTTCAATCAAATTTAGGTTTGTTTAGGTCAAATCTTAACTAAATAATTCCACCCACATAAGAAACAGCAGAAAAAGGATTGATGGAAGGGTGGAAGATGATGCCTGATGAGGTATGTTGCGCTGTGGTTTGTGCATAGATCTCCTGTGTGGCTGTATCGTGCCTCTCACCAGTAAACCTCTGGAGATAAGCACCGTATAGGTGACCCTGTATGGAAGAGATATGTACAGAAAATGGATTTTACATTCTGTCCACAGTACTCATATATTAAATGTAGGCATAATGGTCTTTTCTAGTGTTCTATATAAAGCATTTTCTATTTGAAATTTGAATTACCAAATGCATTTGATCTAGACTTAAATTTTACACCTTGAAATATTTTAAATGAACTTACAGATATCAGAAAAGCATCAAAGCAATGCAGTGTTAAATTAACTCCTATTACTCGGTAGTCAACAATACCTTTTAATCACATTGCAGAAACATTTTAAATATAGTTCACTTGGTTTTAAAGGGGTGGTAAGAAATGATTTGCAACATCTTAACTCAGATATCGATAGATATAATTAAGTTGAACCAGTTGCCTTAACAGTTCACCTTATTATTAAATAAAGTTTACCTGTATGTCATTTAATCTCATATAGTGGAGACCCAGACTTTGTTTTTTGCTATTTAAAGGGACAGTTCAAGATGTGTTTGCCAATTTTTTTAAGAGATGACATAATTATCTCTGTCCTTAATCTCTGAATCCAGTGTAATTAAATTCTAAAAATAAAAGGATTCTTAATTATTTAACCAAATTGTTGTAATACTGAGACTAAGTGCTTGATCCGCATAATAGGATGGATTTAATCAACATTCTATATAGCTTTGCTATTACACAATACAAGTTTTTTTTACAAGATTATTATACAAATCTCCAAATTAAACTAAACATAAAAAAGACATCTATGATGAACTGTGTTAACCCTTATGGGGCAGGTGAATCGTGCCAGCATTTAGATATATACTCAGAAAGATTACCGGCAGTTTGGCAATAATGCAAATGAAACTGGCTGCATATGAAGATTGCTTAAGGGTTAAACCTGCATTTCTGACACGCAAGCGAGCTTCTGGGCGGAACAGCTTCCTAGGGATTGAGAGTGACCAAGAGAGAGATTAGTTTGGATTAAAGCAAAAATAAAAAAGGTTGATGCTTGATGTTAGGATGGGGAGGATCAGGGATGGATCAGAGCAAAAGCACGGTAACCATCATTACATCATCTGATACTTCCTCTGGCTCCATCTCCATCCCTTCCATAAAGATAAACAGAGCCCATGCATTCTTTTACACACCTGTAGTCATGTTGAATTTATATACGGGCACAAATAAAAATATAATCTGTTTCTAAATTTCCATTTTGGAAATAATATTGCTTTTAGTAGGATTCAAAGATGTATTTTTTTAGTTGAAAGAACTGGTTCAGTCTGGTTAATTGGCACTATAAGCTCCATCTGTCCATCAGGCTCAAGCCGCAACATCTGTCCACATGTCTGCTGAGTACTCAAGGGAACGGACACAGAGTCCCTGTCTGCTTTCCAAATTTTCGACTAGGCATTTAATCTCAACTGAAAAGGATTTTCGTGTGTGACCAAATATTAGAAGATAGAGAATAAGTAACTTCTGTCCCATGGGTCAGTTGTGGAAATAAAAACTTTATGTTTATATAGTAATATACTCGAAAAATGAGATGTATAAATATGGAGCCTTTTTTTATCTTTATGGTTTTTATTTGGAATAATTCCCCAATGCCTTTAATTCTTTTATGCAAGAAGTATACTATGTGTTTTATCTACTGTATATTAGATAGACAGATAGAAAGAAATCAGTGGAATGCAGGAGAACCTTTTTCTGTTTAGCAATTTAAATGATCTCATATTTTCATATTTTTGGGTTGCTTTTTTTCATTTAGGGATCCTAAATGTTGCAGATTCAGCTAAAACTGAATACTTTAGGAGGCATCAGCTACATCAAACTAAAAGTTCTCTGTTCTAGTTCAGTTCTCACTCTTCAAACCATTATGTCATGTGTGTCTATTAATGAATGAGGCAATTTCCTCTTTTCCATCTCAAAAAGGAAGAACAAGAAACAACAAATTGATGATGAACACATACTAGAGACTGAGATGACATGCTTGGATTAAGTCAGATTTGTCTGCATACAGAAGAAAGAGTCAAAATCCAAAGTTGTTTAAAGGGTGTTTTCCTTAGGTCTAAGTAATATAATTTTTTTTAGCAACCCAGCAAGTGTTCCAACCTAAACCTGATAAAAATAAATGAATTAAAAACAGTAGAAGGAAATGATAGGCACTCAAACCTTAAAAACTTGGACCTAACTTCCAAAGAAACTCTATTCAAGTAGGTCATTAATAAACAATAGAAGTGTTATATGAATAATGTTTGCTTGTTTTTTTGCACACATAATCATCTCAAAATAATTCTGAATCTAAAATTAGGCGTATAAAAAGTTCTGGTCATAAAACCAACCAGTCACGTGTTTTGCTAAGTTTTGGTTGCTTTGTTTTTTGTAGAAAAGGCTTGGTGGTAATTTTATTATTTAAAATCCAGATTGAATGCAGCATAAAGACCATTAATAGAAGAAGTTATGTCAAAATGACACAAAAGAAACACAGAACCAATTAGAGTGGGAAATGTTAGTGTTGCTGATCTGGAATTCATTTTCCGATCAATTTCAAACCTGAGGTTTTCTTTTATTAAAACACATTTCTAGAAAATGAAAATGGAAAAAAATATTTCCTGAAGATTTTTACAGTAATTAATTACTTTTATTTTTGTGGAACTTGTTGGTCTAAATTGAATTTGTTTTCTTTTTTTTTTTATTCTACCAACATTTTTAAAGGAATACTCTTCTCCTTTATGGGTAACCATTATAAAGAAATTTAGTCTTGAAACCTATTTATATCCTATTATGGTATATTTTCAAACTCGTACCATTTTTCTTCAATTATCCAAGTTCCTCTGCAGTCCAGAGCCTTGTTCCTGTAATAACAGGGCTCTGTCTAGTGTCTAACGAACCATTTCATAAGTGGTTTGGTTATATTCTATAGAATGACTATCCTGCTAAAACATGCAGCGATGGCAAATGTTTATGTTACTGTAGAGTCTAGATATCAAAGCGTTAGAATTTCAAGTACCACATGATTTCTTGCACTTTAAGAAGGTTTTCATGATTTTTGGAAGATAATCGATCCTGCAGCATCACCGGTCCTCCACTCAGGCTTAACAACAGATATGGTGCTTTCCCTCATATTCATCCTTTACTTTACACAAGACCCTCCTATAGAGTTTGATGTAGAAAAGCTTTGGCAAACTCCACAAGTATGTGCTTGTGATGGTTGGACAGAACAGGCATAACTCAAAAATCAGTTACCATAGATACCACTGCATTAAAGGTCCATGGATATTGCTGTTTTCTAGCAGCTACCTCTTTTATCAGTGAGTGGTTAAAAGACAAACCTCATGCAGCTTTGTTTGTAACCTTAAATTCTCAAATTATCATTCAGACTGGAGACATGAACAAGATCAAGCAACCTGTTTCCTTCTAGGTATTTAGTCACATATAGAGTTCAATACATCCACCTCAATTAAATGATACGTTTTCATGCCTGTCTCATGTTCTCATGCTATTTTTAAGGCAGACCTACAGAAACAGACCTATCATATTTATACAGGTTAAAGAATGGATCATGTATTAGTTTTTTGGACACTAAAAAAAAAATCCCATCAAATGTTTCCCTTATTGCAATCTCAGGCGTCTTAATATGTTTTGTCCTGTTTGAAGATTCTCCCCCTTTAAGTTTAGGATCACGTGTTTCATGAATTCCTGGGAAGATTTCAGATTTTGATTCATTAAACCAGTCTTCACAGTAATCTCTTCTTCTCTGCTGAGTTTTATCTTTAAATCCAGCTGAAAACTGCATTAATGGAGGAGGTTTCCTAAAATCCTTCCCTTCCTTTATCCTCTGTTACTGAAAATGTCTGCAGCCCTTTATCCAGACTCTGCCACACAGATGCAGACAGATTATGTCTTTGTTATATTCATTATGATTTAGAGTAGTAAAAAATGGACCAATCTACCATTTCTAGAATACATTTCTCCTATTAAGGATTTTATTTTAATTTTCAAACAACTTTCTTAGCTTATATTAAGTCAATACAATATAATATCATGTTCGTAGCACAACCAACAAATTTGTTTGTGTTATGTTTAAATGTTCATAAAATGTGCAGTATTTTATCAGATTCAGCTTTCAAACTGTATATGTTGGTGTCTAAATCAATGTTAACAAATGTATGTTTTACATTAGGAGAATAAGCCATTAATCAGACATATTTCTATCAGTAATATCTTTATTTCCAAAATAATATTTCAGCAAACCAATCAAAAATAACTTACAGCATGCATACAAAACAAAACATTTTTAACTGTTTGCCTCTGTTCAATTCTACTACATTCATTAAAAATGTCAATGTTTGTGCACTAGTTTGCATAGAATCCTCTTTAAGAAAAGGTTAATAAGGTTTTATTTTCAGTGCTGAATTAACTGTTGCTTTCTTTCGTTTATCCTGAAAGTTGTAAAAATTCTGGCTGATGAGAGATCTTCAAAGTCGCCGTTAGTGCAGGTTCATCGTAAAGTGAAATCTTCTTCCAGTTGTTGAAGCTCACTGGCCAGACATCATTCTGACAAACTCTGGAAGGGAGAGCAAGAAGGTTTAATCATCTAAAGCCCTGCATGGATAACATTTAGGCAAAGTGAAATCATGCTAATGTACCTTCAAAATCTACAGTCCCATCTCCATTATCATCTGCCTCTTTCACGATGGCGTCGATCTCCCTGCGACTCATGTGCTCTCCCATCAGCTTGTTCATAGCTGCCCGCAACTCCTCTGTTGTGATCTCTCCGTCGCCGTCCATGTCGAACTAAAAGAGCAGCGAAGAGGACTAATGCTTAGAGAGATGCTTAAAGTAAAAAGACTTTCTGGTCATTCTTTTTTTGTTTGTTTCACCTCTTTAAATGCGTCTTTCAGCTCCTTCACACCAATCATCCCGGCGGTCTCTGCCAGGAGCTTCGGGGCCATCAGTTCTACAAAGTCCTCAAAGTCGACACTACCTCCAACTGCAGAGGAATGAGTTTTAGCAACCTTTTCAGATTTATGTGTTTCATTTCCCTCCATATAACCCAAACATACTATGTGTTTCATCTACCGACTAAGAATATTTCCATTAAGATTTAACGGGGACTCACGGTTCATGTTGATGTTCTGGCTGAGTTCGATCAGCTCCATCTCAGTAGGCATGTAGCCCATTGTTCTCATCAGGTTCCCCAGATCCTTACAGCTGATTAGACCATCCTTGTCTTTGTCAAATTCATTGAACGCATCTCGAAGCTCTGCAGGTGTGCAAACACACAGAAAAGGGTGTGAATTTCAAAAATTCAGGGCTTGAAGAGAGAAAACAGACATTACATCACTGTGGTTCACTTATGCTTCAAGAGAGTGAGAAAAGGCAATAATTCCTACAGATAAAAAGAAATGCCGTAAACCCTGTGCAAAATTTTAAAACTTATTTGATTCTGATTAGTAACCACTCCACACCTAAGCTTTATTCTGTCACCCTAAAGACCTCTTTATTGGGCTGTTACTGAAGGAAAAAGACTCAGTGTTTGCTATTGTCAGTTTAAACAAAGTAGCACAGTAAAATGAGAAGATATTTGAACATATGCTGGATTTTTCTGAACTTTATAGGATCTATGCTTCATTTCTGGATATAAGAGAGCTAGTGAGAGCAAGACTTTAACCAGATAACAGGAAGGCTGAGCAGAGCACAGTTAAATTGCTTAATTTTTCCTTTTGAAATTTCAACCTGTCAGTGTTCGAACCTGCTAGACTTCAAAATATTTTCAAGGGAAGAGTCTATATTATCTGATGATTAAACGTTCTGAACTGCCCTCCTTGGTAATTAATATATTTACTGGTTAAATACAGTTTGGTAACAACAATCATTATGTTTTTGTTTCAAAAAAATAAATGCTACATAGGAAGACTAAAAACTAATTTGAATGTGGTGCTCTTATGTTTCTATATCTTACTTTCTAAAGAGAAAGTAGAATCAGTTAAACTGTCGCAGCATATCAAAGACTTTTAAGAAATTAAGATCAGAAATTAGCCACAAAGTTCAGACTGTAGCATTTTATGATAAAAAAAAAGTGAGTAGCAATAAGTTCTAGACTTACCATCAATTTCATCCTCAGCCAGCTCTCGTGACTGCATAAAAAAAAAAATTTAAATCAGACTAAGTATCTAATAAGTATCTAAAAATCCACACTAAACTATTCTCCGTGGCACATTTAAATACAAAATTTACCAACAAATCCTAAAAAATTTGCACCTCAGAATTAAAAAACACAATTTAGACTTCACTGAAAATCTGAAGGCAGATGCAGATTTTCTGTTGTTGTTCAAAACACACTGGGTTATAATCCATCAAGCCCTTTTGCAGATGTTTGCGATCATCAAGAGCAGCATACAAAAATAAAACCTTTTTTACTTACAATGTTCTTGCCTCCTCGCAAGAAAATGCACGCTGCACCGAAGCTCATTTCTGTGGGAGGAATTTCAGGAAGATATGTAAATTTTTTAAGTAACTTAACCTGTTTGAAACATATCATAACTTTTCATAATATTTCTTGAAGTTGAAATTAAGAATGATGATCATTTAATCAAACTCTAAGTTTGCAAAAACATGAAAACATGTTTTAATCAAATATAGAGTGTCTCACCTTCCTCTGGTGATTTCTGCTCATCAATTAATCGCATCTCACATGAAGCCTCGGCTTGAGCTGACACCTGCTGAGCAGCGGTGTCCTTCTTCTCCTTCCCACTTCTCCTCTTAGACTCGGAGCCGTCCTTCTTCAGCCAAGACAGCTTTGCGTTTCAATGTGCAGCGCCCTGAGCTGTCTGGCCTGCTGATGCTGATGCTCAGGAGTTTGTGTGAGCTGGGGTTTGGCTGCATCCAGGGATCTATGAATGTATGAGGATATGGGGGAGGAGTCAGTGGCATTTATTGAGGAAAACAGGAGCATAAATAATGCCTTGATTTCCATAGCCTGCTTTATTAAATGTCTGAATGGTGAGAAAATAGGAATGACAAAGGAATACGCCTGTAATTTATCTGCTATGAGTTTTTCAAACTGGTTTTATTTAGTAATAAATGTAAACCACACAGATTAAGTTAGCTTCTGCTGCTATTGAACTCAAAATGTACCTAAATGTTTGAAGCAATCCAGAATGACATTGCTTTAAAGTTTCCTTTTTTTTTCGGATTCCAAAACATTTAATTTGATAACCTGTATAATAAGTCTGACTCTTTTCAGAGACAGCTGATTAAAACACCTGCTTTTATATTCTAGAAGCTTATCTAGTAAAACTGTAAAACAATAAATCCATCCTGTAACACAGAAGTTCAACATAAAACTTCGTACTTATAGAGTTCCCTGGTTCTATAGATTGTTAATCTGTAGCACACAGGTTTAATTTAAACATTATTAATGCAGGGTAGAGGTAGGCGGATCAATTCAAATTACTGATATTATCAAAACCAAGTTGATGTCAGTATCTGATCAATACGGTCATGGTAAGTTTCTTACTTTATTTTTAGATTCACTGTTTTATGCGCTGCTTCTGTTTCTTCAAAATGACACAAGCAGGACCGCTCTGTCTCAGTGTGATGTGGGATTATGCACAACCCCCCACTGCTGTGTTTTCAGTTGTTCTGCACAGAGACTGGCTCACATTCAGGCTTCTGGGAATTATTCTCTAATTTCTTTGAATACATTTATTGTGCTTTGATAATTTATTTTTGTTTAAAGAAAAAAAAAAATAGCACCAAAAAGTACTTGTTGAACGTTTTTTTTCTGTAGTTTATCAGTTCTCCACGTAAAAATAGATTTAGATTTGATTTACATTCATATTTGTTTTGCAGTTTGTTGATGAACATATGAATGAACATAAATATGAAATATAAAATAAATGAACATTTTACGGTGAGAGACACTTGCCCTGTGTTTACTTGGTATCAGATCAATATCAAAATAAGAATATCTCACACCACTAATGTGGGACTGGAAAATTAATTTTGAATTATTTTTATTTTATTTAATTATAGATTTTATTGTTCTAAATTTTAATCTATGTATTGTGAGTCTGTGTTATGGTTTTATGTTATGCTCTGTGTTGCCTTGCGATGGACTGGCAGCCTGTCCAGGGTGTACCCCGGCTCTCGCCCATTGACAGCTGGATATAGGCACCAGCACCCCTTGTGACCCCACTTGGGATTAAGCGTGTTAGAGAATTTATAGATGGATGGATTGGAATCCTCCAGTCTGTTCAGGAAACAAAGGGGGATTCAGCAGAACCTTTTGAGCTGATTGAGCGAAGCAACAACTAGAGCCAATCAAATGAAATAGTAATATTCAATTCAGTTTAACTCTATAGCGGCAATTCACAACACGTCATCTCAAGGCACTTTACAGTTCACCAGATCATACAGTCAAATTGATTTCTAAAGTTTTCTATCTAAGGAAAACCAGTTGATTCACTCCCTCACACTAAGAATGCTTGTAGCGACAGAAGAGAGGAAAAACTCTCTTTTAAAAGGAAGAAACATCCAGCAGAACCAGGCTCAGTGTGAGCCGCCATCTGCCGACTGTGGTTCAAGGAGACAGAAGCAGAGATACAAAGAGCAACTGTAAAAGGCGGCCCTGTCCAGGAAACACAAAGCCAGGCAGACAAGCTCTGTGCCAACTCCCATGTCAGAGGAAGAAGAGAGCAGGTCCAGCCAGTCACAGTCAGAGAAACAGGACTACACTGAAAAACAGGCTGATCTCGAACATCTATAAACAAAGGTGTTGATTGCAGCCAAACAGGAACAGACTAGGTGAAGCTACTATGTGAAAAAGCAGAGAGAGCATAACATTAGAGATTGAACTAAGAAATTCTGCAGAGTGGGAGAATAGAGATAGAGTGAAGCAGAATGATGAAATAGGGGTCCCTATGTCCTCCAGACGTCTAAGCCTATAGCAGCATAACTATAGAGATAGCTCAGGATAACCTGAGCCTCTCTAACTATAAGTTTTATCAAAAAGGAAAGTTTTAAGCCTACCCTTAAAAATCATGCTTTTGGTTTTAGTTTTATAATTAATTCTCATATTTAGTTCTTTGTATACTGGTATGTATTTTTTCCATCTCTGCTTATCTTATTTTCAACCCGGTTGATAGGTTTTTATTCTCACTTCCCTTTTTCCTTCTGCAACTGACTCTGCATTTGAGCAGACTGATTCTCATTAGGTACTCTTTTCTGGTTTATTCCATTGTTCAACCCTAGATTAATATTTCCTCTAATTGTTTAACAGTCCCTTATACTTTATGGATGGAAATGGAAAAAATGTGAAAAAAAACTCAGAGCATACCAAAAGCAAGACGTAACTAAACACAAACACACAGGATAATGAAAACTCAAAGACCTATCACAGTATTATGATTGTTTAGGTTTGTACACATTCTAAATGTCTAAAGCCTTTAACTGTACATGTTTCCTTCGAAATGTGTCACAACAAATCAACAAAAGCATATGTGGTTCTTCTCCATATGTTGTCCTCTTAGAGACAATAATGTAAACCAGATCTTGGATGTATTAAAGGTTTATAGGTCCTGACATGGTTTTATCCTATTGTACACTAATCTGCCACAGTATTTGTGAGGTTTGAGTTACTGTTTATTCCTCACATCCCAGGGTCAGACAGCATGCCCTGCAGTGGACATGTTAACGGCAACCTGTCTGAGCTAAGACTCTGACTCGCAGAGTCACGATGGTTTGCAAGTCGTCTGCGGCGAACGTCTTCCCTTTTCTGCCTGCCTCTTCTGTTATGTAAATTCCTCTGAAATCTGTTTGCATAAGAAGCTTAATGTGGTGTGCCATGCAGACGGACACTAATAACGATTTATTATCTGCTTTTTTTTTTCTTTGCAGTGGGCCAGTTTACAAGGTTATGCAAAGCCAAATCCCCAGCTGTGGAAGGATGTCTGTGAAACAGGGTTGAAGGTATGGGTGACAGAAAACTTAGGAGAAGGGAGGGATTCAACTGGGTGGTAAAATGGTTTAGTATCAGTTTAATTCGGGGAATGAGGGAAGCAGTGATAGGTCAGACAGGAGCATATGATGGACAGTTACATCATATAAAAATTCTTAACTAAAAAAAAATGGATTAGAGAGGTTTTGAAAAGAATATTTTACTATTTAAAGGAAAGGAGGAAACTTTACAGCAGCTGTTTGGATATTGGGGTGTATCACAGGCTGGTGAACGGCTCAGCATGTCAAAGTAAATTGAGATGCTCTTATGTTTTTTGTGCAAGCCCTATCTGCTGAAATTCAGGAAAAAAAGAAAAAGAAAACATACAGATTACACCTTGTGGATTACATAAACATGTTATAATCCAAACATGTCATATGTGTTATTATGCTGACGTGTGTCTGAGATAATTTCCCATCAAATCATTTTGACAGCTGGGAATATCCAGCAAGGAATTACCTTTAAATCTCCCTAACTAGTCACAGAGGTAATCACAGAGTTATTCACAGCAAATTAATAAATGATGATGTTTTCCATTATGCAACAGCTTAGCGGTATAGCATTTTATTCCTTCTTGGTAAGCATTACATAATAATCTGTTTTTCCAAAATACAGAACGCATTGGAATATGGATGGATTCACAACCGGATATTTGTGTTAAATGGCTTTGAATAATAGTGCACCTATTTAGCTTTTTGTTGCCTTTTTGTTTTTTCGTCAGGGGACTCAAAGCGCTACACTCAGGCATTCACACGTTCACACACTGATGGTGGCAAGCTATGTTGTAGCCAAAGCTTGTCTGGGGTACACAGACAAAAGTGTGAGCACAGTTGTAAGAGCTGAAGGTGCAGGGGTCCATTCGGCCATCCGATGGAAGGATTAGGAGCAGTTTACATACATTTTGTTGTGTTATACTATAAAGATGTGCTGATTAAAGACTGTGTGAACAAAGAATAGGCAGCATTCTGACCATTTCACATGTTAGTCTACATATTTATTTATTTTGATTAACTAGAATGCACTTGCAATGAGGCTAAATTAAAGCAACTTTAGAAATAAAAAAGCTTTCAAGCAGGTATTTAAGATTATTTTCATTAAGCACATATTTCCTGTTTGTCTAAAGTACTTTTCTACTCCTATATGTCATGCTTTCATTAGCTGTGAGTCATAATTAAGAGAAATAAATGCTGTAAGGGGGAATCAGTCTTCGTTTAATTGAGCTATATAATGTACTTGAGCTTGTCTGCCTGGCTGTGTGTTTCCTTGACGCAGCCGTCTGTGGAGCTGGTTGACAGTTGCCTTTTGTATCTCTGCTTCTTTCTGTATCTCTGCTTCTGTCTCCTTGAACTCCATTCTGCCTCAGCTGATGGCAACTCACACTGAGACAGGTTCAGCAGGACATTTCTTCCTGTTAAAAGGGAGTTTTTCCTCTCCACTGTCGCTACAAGCATGCTTGGTCTGATGGAATGCCTTAGAGTCAATGAGTCGATGCAATCAACACTTTTAATCAATTTCACTTTATGATCTGGTTGAATTGTGTTAAAGATAGGCTCTGTGTATGCACATTGAAGCCATATCTCTTCAGTTCCTTACCCTGAAAAGAGATCACTCGGACAAAAAAACTCTTTAAATAACACTTTATAACTTATATGTAAGAAATAACCAGGAGACATGACAACAGATTATAATAAAAATTGTAATCTTACACAGATCAGAGAAATTGCTTAGAATTTACAGAATGGCAGCTGCTCACCTCCGGGTTCACCTCTCAGGAAGTGGCTCCGATTAACTGGTTTTCCTTAGATAGAAAACTTTTAATCAATTTAACTGTATGATCTGGTTGAATTGTAAAGTGCTTTGAGATGACATGTGTTGTGAATTGGTGCTATAATATATATATATATATAACAAAATTTATTTTAATTTAACTTAATGAGTGAGGTGCTAAAATAAATTTTTTTTTGAAGAATAATGTAACTTATTGTATAACATCTACTTTCCTCACTTTGGGACAATCAATTATATTCCTTTTTTATTCTAATATAGCTAGTAAGAGGACTTATTATTTTTTACTAATGGCTTTCATTTATTTTCAGAGTGAAACAAAAACACGAATTAATTTATTAACTATGTTGTTTTTTTTCACATGTCCAGTAAGGAGGACAATAACCATATAAGACTGAAATATCAGTTTGCCAAAGAATAATGCATATTGTGATTTTAGTATCTCTCCATGGTTCATATCTGCACCCTGATCCTTCATGCTCTCTCCATGGTCCTCTGGTTTAACTGTATATTTCAAAACAAAAACACCTTCCATTACACTAAGCAATAAAAAGAAATACCTCATCACTAAACTCAAGAACAAAAAGGATCAAACTCCTGTTATGATCATGACATCACAAATAATCACAAATCATCTGCCATCATCTGCTGGGGTGACAGCATCATAGCAAAGCGCTTAAAGAAGCTCATCAAACTAAAAAAAGGACAGATCTATTCTAGGAACTCCACTAGAACCTCTGGATATGATTTCAAAAAAGATTATTCTTCAGAAAGTGAAGAACATTATGGGCATTATGTGAGCATCCTCTTCAGAAAATTACTGAAGAACAAGACAGACAGATACAGAAGATCCTTCCTGCCTACAGCTATCAACACCTATAACAACTGGTTAAAAAAAAACGTATTAGTTGCTGCAACATTTAATTTCCCTTTAGGATTAATAAAGTATTTTTGAATTGATTGAATATATTTGTTTGCAGTTTTCAGGGAGCTAATGAGCCCTGGCAGCTGGAAAACCCTTAACTTCCTATGACTTTAGGATCTTAAGCAGGGTCAGCTTTTAGTCGCTACATTCAACAGAGGTGGGCAATTTCATCCTCACAAGCAACTATGGAAATTGTTATTACTATTATTGTTATTACTATTATTAATTTATTATTAATAAATTGTTATTATTATTATTATTACTAAACTACAAATGATCAAACTTAGCCTATATTAAATTGTTTGATTTACTGTAAATTGCAAAGCTTTGGTACCAATATCAGCATCATTTCCCAGCCATGATATAAAGCCATGCTGTGATGATTCCAGCAAGGAGCATCCTCTGAGCAACAGATAACCCGTGGGCTTAGCTAGCAGCTTGCAGCCCTCCTAATCCTTCACCATACTGCTGAGGATGTTCAGACTAAGTAGGCCAAGCCTTGTAGTGGCTTGTGGCTTAAACTCCTCTCATCCCCATGTTGGGTTCTTGCTGGTTTCCAATACTCTGCCTGGAACCACTTTGTGCAATCAAAGCCTTCCTCTGACACCTCATGCCGCACTTACAGAAATATTGATGCCTCCTCCGGAGCGTTGATGCCAAATACCAGATATGTTCTGTCCCAATTGAGCCTTTTCTAAACAGCCTTCCTGCAGCAGAGGGATTTGGAATATTGCACCCTATTCTCCTATCTGCTGCATCATAGTGGATAAATCACTGACCCTTCTCCATTCCTCATCGTCTGGTAAAAAGCAATAGAAAACTGGTTTGTTGAGCAAGTGATGCTTGTTTGTTGTTCTTGTTTTGTTTTTTTGTTGTTGTTTTTTTACAGAATTTATTACTGTCTGCCAGGCTATAGAGCACTAAAATGTGAGCTTTATTGGTCCTAATGTCACTGTATTCACCATATGGATGTTTTGGAGGGGTTTTGTACTGTTAGATGCCCCATATAAACAATGAAGCCTGTATAGAAACAGATAAATGGCTAAACTCAACATTTATCATGAAGAATCAGCTCAAAAATGTCTGTTTGTTTGTCTAAAATGGGACTTTACCTCTTTCCAAATATGACAGTCCAAGCTGGCATTTCTTAATAAGTACAGTCTGTTCTCAGCCATTCTTCCAGTGGTCCCCCTAGGGGACAGATGTAGCAAGTGAGCAGAAATAACAGAAGAGATGTGGCTCAGACATAAAATTGAAAGATCTCTTTAGATTTAAAGAATAAGACATTAATAATTTGCCTCTTCAATCATGTTTTGTTTTCCTTCTAAAACAGACAGTCGTTTTCAGATCACTATCTAGTTTTCACAAACTCCCTATCTATTATGAGGAAATCTATCAGGTATCGTACTATAAAAACTCATGACTGACTAGTTGTTTTGTTGGGAAAACCATGTTGAACTTGTATGTAAAAAGACAATAAGACAAAGCTATATTTCTTTACTTGTTTAAGGTCCTCCGGAGCAAAAACTTTTGCCTTGTGTTTAATTCCTCAGTGATAAAGAGTGTTTTTAAAAAAAAAATCTAAACTGATTCTTTAAATTAAAAATTGCTCAAAGACTGCCAGTTAAAATAATGTTAGGAGTCTTCCTAAAATTATAATGTAGTGACATTAGTTTTTAAATTGCCTTTAATCCAGAGCACTTTGAATCATAAGTACAGATTTAGCATCACAGATTTAAACTGCAAAATGCTTTTTTTTTTTTTTGCTTTTAATCCTCAAACTAGAATAGAATAGAATAGAATAGAATAGAATAGAATAGAATAGAATAGAATAGAATAGAATAGAATAGAATAGAATAGAATAGAATAGAATAGAAGTAATAGTGATAAGTATTTTTTCTTGGAGATTCTTTGTAACAAGGCACATAGCCAAAAGAAAAATGAAATAGACACAAACAAGACAGAAAAAAATTGAAAACGAACAAAGAGATAAATTAAACTGTACAGCAAAGGACATAATCAGACCTCAGGAAGAGAACACTGTGCATTCATTTAAGAAAATGGGTAATCAGAAAATTTGAAAAAGTTTCAAGATTAAAAATAAAACAATTTATTTATAATAAACACAATGCAAAAATTGTGAGAATAGCATTTCGATGTCAATGTTTTGGAGCAAGAACTGTAAAAAGCAGGTAAACAGAGCAAATACAAGTAATTATGTACAAAAAGTCTTACAGCATAGATAAAAACTGAAAATAAAGGTGTGGGCGTAAAAACATTAATAATTGGATTAAAGAAATGTGAAATTTACACTTATTAGGAATTGTGAGAGCAGGGAAAGACTAAGAAGTGTAAAACAGTGGGGGAAAAGATCTGTGATAACACTACATTGTGCACATAAGGTTGCAGCAGTCTTTCGGTTAAGTTGCTCTCCTTTACTGTGACAATGTCATCTATGTCATCTATCCCATGATTCATAGAGACATTGTGAAATTGTGATGTTATTTTGGTTATGGTCATTCTGTCTCTAATTTCTGTCTGCACCATGTCAGGGGTGGAAACAATGTGTCATATTATCCTGAACTAAGTCACAACATAGACAGACAGACAGATCTATAGATAGATAGATAGATAGATAGATAGATAGATAGATAGATAGATAGATAGATAGATAGATAGATAGATAGATAGATAGATAGATAGATAGATAGATAGATAGATAGATAGATAGATAGATAGATAGATAGATAGATAGATAGATAGATAGATAGATAGATAGATAGATAGATAGATAGATAGATAGATAGATAGATAGATAGATAGATAGATAGATAGATAGATAGATAGATAGATCCATCCATCCATCCATCCATCCATCCATCCATCCATCCATCTATCTATCTATCTATCTATCTATCTATCTATCTATCTATCTATCTATCTATCTATCTATCTATCTATCTATCTATCTATCTATCTATCTATCTATCTATCTATCCATCCCATACATAGATAGATATCTAAATCTATCTATCTAATACATAGATAGATAGATGGATTATATATCTAATAGATGATAGATAGATCTATCTATTAGATAGATTTATCTATTAGATAGATCTATCTAATAGATATCTATTAGATAGATCTATCTATTGTATAGATGTATCTATCTAATGGATAGATCTACAGATCTATCAATCTAATAGATAGATCTATGTATTAAATAGATAGATCTATATATCTAATAGATAGATAGATGGATCTATATATCTAATAGATAGATATACAAATCTATCTATCTAATACATAGATAGATATATAATAGATATATCTATCTAATAGATAGATAGATAGATAGATAGATAGATAGATAGATAGATAGATAGATAGATCCATCCATCCATCCATCCATCCATCCATCCATCCATCCATCCATCCATCTATCTATCTATCTATCTATCTATCTATCTATCTATCTATCTATCTATCTATCTATCTATCTATCTATCTATCTATCTATCTATCTATCTATCTATCCATCCCATACATAGATAGATATCTAAATCTATCTATCTAATACATAGATAGATAGATGGATTATATATCTAATAGATGATAGATAGATCTATCTATTAGATAGATTTATCTATTAGATAGATCTATCTAATAGATATCTATTAGATAGATCTATCTATTGTATAGATGTATCTATCTAATGGATAGATCTACAGATCTATCAATCTAATAGATAGATCTATGTATTAAATAGATAGATCTATATATCTAATAGATAGATAGATGGATCTATATATCTAATAGATAGATATACAAATCTATCTATCTAATACATAGATAGATATATAATAGATATATCTATCTAATAGATAGATAGATAGATAGATAGATAGATAGATAGATAGATAGATAGATAGATAGATAGATAGATAGATAGATAGATAGATAGATAGATAGATAGATAGATAGATAGATAGATAGATAGATAGATAGAAATGATCATTTGAATACAGGAGAAACTTCCTCTGTTTAGCCGTTTAAATGATCTAATATTTTTTATATTTTTGTGTGATGTTTTGATGATTTTCGGCCACATGGGGATACTGTTATTGGACGCTCGCCTGCTTCTCAAGCCCAGAAGAAGAGCTCTTCCGTTTTCCTTTCGGCTCCCGCCCCGCTCCGCCATCATGAAGTCCTGAACAAAAACGGATGAGGTCCGAGCAAAATGGGAATAGCACGGAGCGGAGAGGAAGCTCGGCGATAGCGCTAGCGAAATGTGAATGCGAACCAGAGCGGAGTGGTGGCTTTTAACGAGCAAGTCTCCCCGCCGATAAACGTCCCATATCAGCTCCTGGCGTTGACGCTATTCGATTAGCAGCGGTGCTAGCAGCAGCCCGGAGCCTTGGCCCTGATTTTTCTCCGTTAGTTAGCTCCGCTTGTGGGTTAGCTGGCAGCTGTCAAGTCAGCTAGCTGTCAGCCTAGACTGACTGACACTTCACTCATGTCAAGTGTAAAAGAGGTGCTAGCTACTGGAAGCACCATGATGGCTGGGGGTTTAGCTAAAACATCGACGGACAGGCAGAATGTGGTCTGTTCGTGTTGATTAGAAACCGGGGAGGAGAGGATAGGACAGTGTGGGGGGGAGAGAAATCAAGATTTTCCTGCCTGGCCAGTCAGCTAGCTCTAGAGCTAGCTACAGTGGATCCCAAAAGCCACGGTAAGTGTTGTTATAAATCATTCAGTGTGGTAAAACAGACAAATCATTACCTCTCCCTGCAGGGGAGTGAATAGATACCATTATCTACTGCTGGATGTTAAGAGCTGACATTCAGCTTATTTACAGCTGAATAAATAGAACTAAGATTTTACCCATTTTGGTAAATGATTCCTATATTGTTTGCAGAGATACTGATGGCATCTATATAAATGGGTGTGAATTGTCTTTCTATTAAACCCACCAATTTTATTTGTATTTGCAGCTCAAGTTCTAAGAAACAAGCCTTAATAGAAACCACATCAGTGCAACATAAGTCTTTTCTTTTTATTGTGTTGTCTGCAAGCAGCCTGTTAAAAAATAGATCAAGACAGCCGGCATTGGTTGCAATATTTAAACAGCTTCTCGTTTATAAAGGGAACCAGGCAGTTCCTCTTTGATGGCTGCAGGGCAGCTACAAAAGAGCATCTGATGTGGCTTCTTTTTAAAGAATGTTTGTGTTCGAGGCTCACGTTTAAGAGTCCTTGTGCTTTGTTAATAAAGCAGGAATTGACTGACATACATGTTTAACAGCCTCTGATGTCCACAGAGAAGAGCGAGGACTAGTTTAGCTCATATTACATATATTGTTGTAATATTTAGCCATAATAACACTGTCTGGTCATTTGGGGTAATGGAGGGTTCCAGCTATGATTTCCAGTCAGCAAACTCTGTCCATGGTGCTCCTTAAAAGATGTAAGATTATAGGAAATATGCACTTAGATTATATGAATTTATTTCCTCTTTATTCTAGATTTTCTCTTTCTTGTGTGTTATTATACACTTGCAACCTTTATAACCCGTGCTGTCTTTGTCTCTGTCATTGTATCATGGAAATAGAAATAGAGAAATACAAATAGAGCTTTATTGATCTCGCAGTGGAGAAATTAACACTCTGCATTTAACCCATCCCCATTGGGGAGCAGGTGGCTGCCACTGTGCAGCACCAAGAGAGCAGTGTGGGGTTAAGAGTCTTGCTCAGAGACCCAGAGTGCAGGCTGTGGGAATCGAACCAAGTACAAGCGCACTGCTCTAACCACTAGGCCAACACTCCCCCGAAGCTTCTATTATCACAAGTCAGTCTAACAAATAAAAATGTAATTACTCGTAGCCATTAAGATATTTCACTTCAAGTGATTCTATGCAATATAAATCTTGTGCGCATTAATAATGATATACATGTGATGTATTATTTGGATATGAAAGTGTTACTTTTGAGATAAATTTAACAGTTGTGATGAGTCAACATTTTCCTCGCTCTGCTCTTTCTTTTCAGTCGTCTCGCTGCCCCCACAGCTTCTTCTTTTACATCATGTTCACACTTTGCTGCTGTGTTTTCCTAAACATTCCACATTTTTCTCTTGTTATAACTTCCAAACTTCAGTATGCTTAATCAGGATTTTATGGGAAAAGCACCACGCTGCTCTTTTCTAGTGAAGATGCATTTAGCAACCCTGAAATCTGACTGAAAAACACCTGCAGTAATAGAAATAAGAAACACAAAGAGTTTGTAGTCTAGAGATATGGCCTTATTTTCTTATCAAAATATTTTGTGGCAAAATTATCAATTTAAGTTGGCGATAAAAACACTCTTCATTAATTCTTTGGGTTGATCCTGTGGCTGTATGCCACAGCAGTTGTAGCCCAACAGTAACAAACTACTCCTGAAAACATACAATTTAAAAGTAGCTTTCTTCAGGACACCGGTTACATAACAAAGTGAGATTTATATCACTTAACACCTCAAAGTTACCACATTTACTCATATCCTTTGAATTTTTCAATGCCCCAATGGAAGAAAAGGGGGGGATTGTCTATTAAATTCACAATTAATCATTTTTGGAGTTTTTTTTTAATCATCACTAAACTTTAATTTATTGTTTAGACAGTAAATAAAAATTTCGATCATGACTAGAAATTAACCAAAATAGCGATAAACTAAACGTATCCCCATCTAACATATTTGTGTTAAAGTGGCTCATTCAAAGTCTGCATTATAAAAATAAAATAGGACGGCCATTTTGTTGTTGTTGCTTTCCATCCTGTCTGGCTAAGCATGAGTTTTTTTGTTACTCACTATGAGTGAAAATTAGCAAAGATTTATAATTAAGGGACCTCTGGTTGTACAATGAATGAATGTAAAAGGTTGAATACTTTAGCAAAGAGGTTTATGTTGGGTGTGAAAAGCAAGCAGCGGCGAAATTCCATTCAATTGTATTTATTTTTATGGATACAGGGGCAACGGTAACTGATATTATATATTCACGAAGTATACATTTAAAACTGTTAAAATGTTTTAAATAAATGTAACATTTATGACACTCTGACTCTAAAACATTGCCTATGTCTGAAGTACTTCCTTTATTAGGTGACAAAGCTGCTCACTGTGACTGAAACACTGTTTTTAAGTTATTTGTTGCAATTTAAAACTGAAACACAAGCTTTAAAAGTCATGCCTGAACTTCAGTGCCTTGTTTTCAAAGCTGGTGGCTTTACAAAGAAACCATTCATGTTGCGATGAAACTTATCACTTCTTCCTGCAACAGAGAATCAGAACTAGATGGTATCAGTTGTAATTAAAACATATTACTCTGTGTCTCAGCTGTTTAGCGCATTCTCCGTAACCTTAAATTAACTTCCCAATGAGGCTTTTATTCTACAAACGCAGGGAAATCCTGCGGCCTAACTGCTCTTCGCTTTAGGCAAATTGTGAGCAGCTTCATGGTTTTCAGTTATCATCGGTGTAGCTTTGACAGTTTGTCTCTCCCCACAGACATGCCGAACCAGTTTTATCCCCCATCAGAATACAGGGAGGAAAGACATTTTAACCCTGTAGGTTTTAAGTAAAACTTGTAGCTGTCTGTTAAAACAATTTGTCGCTTTGCTTCTGAAGAAACTAAAACTAATTGTTGGAAATGTGGGACCTTCTGTATTTGATCCCAGTTTCTACATTTAAAGTGCCTTCTGCAAATATTTAGACTTAGACTTAGATTTATTCTGTAATATTGAATACACGAATGTAAACAAAAAGAAATTAAATTTAAAATATTAAGCTCAGTGCTCACTTTGTGCACAATTTTATCACACTAATATTAACACAAGCTGTTTAATTAGTAACGTACCCTAAATATATCTAATATTGGCAGTGCCAAAGCGATGCTGACAAATGTACTTTATCATTTGCTATATGATTACATTACAGTTGTTACTTTTATTTTCCCACATATGATCATGTTACAGCCTCATGTTATTTCAAATTTTTTATGTGATTGATCAACATTGAGGAAGAAGTAAATGAAATGTAAAAACTGGCATGCATTGTTTTCAGCCTCTTCTTTTACTCCGGTGCCCTATATAAAAACTAAAAAGTAATTTTCAAACACCTTCTAAGCAGAGATCACTGATCACACCTCATCCACTGTAATAATGATGGCAGCTTTCTGTCTAGAAAAGGCTTTGCTTCCTCTTTATGGCAAAGGTGTGTGGAGCTAATTGTAGGGCAGTCCTCTAAGAAACCTTTTAAACAGCTATTGAGGAGTTGGGATTAGTGTGGAGGTTCTCTTTCCAGCGAGACAAACAGCAAAAATCACACAGACAGACTTGTAGGGAATGCTCAAGATCAGAGAATATTAATTTTTTAGAATGGCCTAGTCAAAGTTTTTGTGTGGCTAGAGTTGAAAATGTGTGTTCTGTCATTCTTCAGACTATCATTGAATTGTAGCTACTTTGGCCACTGTTTAGTTGTGCAAATCTAATAGAATATCACAACAGACTTTCAGCTGATATAAAAGTCATTTTTTTAAATCAATTTTTTCATGTAAAAAAGAAAATTTTCCTCATTTTGATTTATTTCATTATTTCTTTCCAGACATGACTGCAACCAGTGAAACTGTCTGAAAAAGTTACAGGAAAAAGAAAAACTCGTTAACTTCCAACCCCTTCGCCCCTAAACAATATTACATTCAGTTGCCCTTATAATGTTTCTCGTGTCACATGAATTTACAGAGGAAATACTGTGTATTTGTACACATGTAAATTGAAAGGAGACAATTAACAGGTTCTGCTTCAGGTTTGTGATAATGTGAAAAATAATGAATAATGAATGAACATACGCTAACAGTTTTTCCAAGAGATTGCTTTTCTATTATTTATATTTCTATTAAACTGTCGTATTTAGCATCAATTAACCGTTCTCGTGAAAAGTAGATATAAAACCCTGATATGTGATGAAGAAAATGAGCTATAATTCAGTCTTTCAACATTTTAATACATGGAACCAATGTTGATAATGAATCTTTACCTGAAAGAAAGGGACATGGTTACGAACAGTCTAACTGGTGTTCCTGAGTGCTGTTGTTGTAACACGAAGGGTTTCTTTAGCATGTAGTTTTGTCTTTATGGGGATTTATTTTTAAATCCCCCTTTAATGTAAAAGATGAAATAAATTGTCAAATTAAAAGTGCTTCCTGAGCTGCTTTGACAGTAACTTGATCTATAGAGGATATTGCTTAACTTCAGCATCTTGTTTTAATGCTAGCTTGTTGGTTATCCTTATTTTCTTTGGTCGACGTTTATTAGCATTCGGGCTATTTAAACCTGTTCAGCCTATTTATTATCCTCCATTTTGTAATGTTTCAGTTTTGTGCAACTTTAAATAATGTGGCAGGAAGTCTGACACATTTGCTATTATAAAGTTAAATAAGTAATTTTAAAAACGTGAAAATGCTAAATGCTTTTATATGTACCCTAAAAATAATGGTTTATTTCCATTTTATTGCTCTGTGTTTTTTCTGGGGGCTGGTCATGCTGTGTTTGTTAGGTCATGTGATGGGGATAGGGGATAGTGATGCAGTGAAGGAATGTGGGATCATTTATTGAAGCAGTTTCACAGGTCTAGTTTATTTTTAATTGTGTTAAAAGAGAATTATTAGTATTTATATTGGCCAAACTGTTCATATTGATGCATCCTGATTGAAAACTGTTTATATGTCTGCCTGTGGTTGTTGCACACACTTCAAAACTCCAAATTTGATTCCTCTGATTTTATATGGCAGTTGGGGTTTTTTTTCTCAAGAGTTTTTTTTATTTCTTGTTTTGCTCTTATAATGCATGTCCACTTTCTGTATTAGCTTAAGAGTAGTTTGTATCCTACCTCTGTTGGATATCTAGAAGGCTTGCATAAGTGTGTAATTTCCTCTGAAGATCTCGGAGCACTGATTGTTCATGGCAAACTGGACCACATATACTTCTGCAACCCGTTTTTTCCAGCAGAAGTGTTTGTAATCCATCCAAACAACAGACGCTCACCCAGCATGTGTCTCTTCCACCCTCGCCAGGCGCTGGCCATGCCGTCGAGTGTGCGGGCCGGGAGCCTGAAGGACCCGGAGGTGGCAGAGCTGTTCTGCAGGGAGGACCCTGAGAAGCTCTTCACGGACCTGAGGGAGATAGGCCATGGGAGCTTTGGAGCGGTCTACTTTGTGAGTTCTTTGTGTTTCGGTGGAGCTTTTGCTCTACAATGAGGATGTCTGCTAGTTCTGAAGCCGTGAATGTTTGATGCACATGTGTGTCTCCCATGTTATCTGTCCCAATTCTGTCACTTCAGCGATGTTGTTTATTTACACTACAGTTAGTCTGTTTATTAATGCAAGTCAAATTCACTCCCTAAAAACTGAGTTTTGTCTATTTTCCTTTTATTTTTTATTTATTTAATCTGATCCAAATAACTTACAAACCCTGAGATATTTTAGCTTAGGAAGCAGAGCCTACATTGGTAAACAACATCAGCTAAGCAAGTAAGTTCATGAAATATCACAGTTGGGGCTGAAACAATCAGATTAACCGTGATTAATCCATTATTGAAATAGTCGCCAAATAATTTAGTAAACAATTAAGCCTTAACTTGAGTATAGAGACTGTAAAACATGCCTTTAGCTGAGAGGAAAACCCAATTAGAGCAGTATTTATGTCAAAATGGTAAAAAATATGTATAAACCTTTTGCAGCCCTTGTTAATTTACTTCAAACCAAATGTAAAAACTTTTATAAGTTTGCTTAAAAATGTTGAATTTCAGTTGAAGGATAACACTCCTAAGAAGAATTTTATTTTACAGACAAAGTGTGTTAGTTTTATGGTTTATTATCCTTTGAAAGTTAGCAACAAGACATGAACAGTAAGATCGACGAACAGGTTTTTTAGATGAAAATGAAACCGATGCCGTATTTCTGTTAAAGCTTAAAGTGGGTTACACCTCACAGACAGAATAGAAGGGTGAAAACAATGTGAGTCAGGGACAAAGAGCAACTTTCTGACGGTTGGTGAAAAGGCCTGTTTAATGAAGGATGACAAAGAGCTAGTCGAGGGCTGGAGAGAGGAGGACAGCGAGCTTTATGTAACAGTAATTGCTTTGCCATGTTCCGTTTTATAAATGGTAGATGAATCATAGTTTTTCTTTTAAAGGAACTAAATCTTAATTTATGTCTCTAGACACGAATCCCTATAAACAGGCTCAGCATAAACTCCTGCATTATCTGATCCTTTTTCACATTTACCCGCTAGGCCCACGACATCCGCACAAATGAGGTGGTGGCCATCAAGAAGATGTCCTACAGCGGCAAGCAGTCCAACGAGGTAGATGAGAACAAAGTGGATCAATTTAATCTGCTGAAGGCAGTAGAAAACACACCCTTGGGATTCAGCTGGAGCACATTTACCTGTCAGTGACTGTGGCTCTGTTTCTGCTCCAGAAATGGCAGGATATCATCAAGGAAGTGAAGTTCCTACAGAAGCTGCGCCATCCAAACACTGTGGAATATCGAGGCTGCTACCTGAGAGAGCACACGGCCTGGGTGAGTCTGTGTGCCGTTTCCATAGCTGCAGGGTTACTAACACTCTGAGCTGCTGCCATTATTTGAACTATTTTGTGCTGTGGAAAATATTTTACATTTTTTATTTTAAGGCCTCTTAGTTAAAAAGCAAATGCTCTATAAATGGGTTAAAACTGTGACCTCTTCCACGCTGAGTGGCTTTTCTGCACACGTCAGTTTCGAACTTGATTCTCTTTCACCAGCTTCAGCCACGGTCTTCATAAATTCTTTTCTTGAATCACATATTTTAAACACAAATAAAATAGTATCTGTAGGGTGTAGAACCCGTCTCCATCCTGAACAATAACCTGGTTGGACATTGCTGTGGTGTTTGTACTGAACAGAGGAATATAGAACCTGCAGAAAAGTAGGAATTTTACCCAAGATTGAAGTAGAGCTATAGGGGTCCACATTTCTCACCCTGATAATTTTTTTCATTGTTGTGTGTTTTAAAATGTATTCCCAGGTTTGCTTTAGTTTAACTTGAAAAGTAACAAAGTCAAGAATATTAACTTTAGTTTGGGACTGCAATGTTTACTTTCCTGATTTCTTTCGCACTAGTGACAGCATCAACGCTAATCCACAGTGATGGAGTCACTAGCTAGGCAGTGGCGGAGGGACAGAGGTCATGCAGCCTGCCTGCGGGGGGGTCAGACCTGGCTTTTTTTTTTTCAATAGGAAGGGAGCCAAACAGTGGCGGCTGGTGGACTTTTCTCCGGGGGTGCTATAACTTCAAAATAGACGTATACCAAAAACCAATCAAATTTATACTAAGGTATATTTACACCAGTATATTGATATGAATGCCAACAACAGACACACAACATTATAAAATTTACTGAAAAGTGCTTTGAATCAGTCATAGCTGTCTTAATCCATGCTGGGTCAGATCCTGATGTTTAAAAAAGGAGGCAGGAAAGCAGAATAAAGCATAAGCCTTGCTGCATGCAGTTAGCCAAGCCTTGTTGCTAAATAATTATAAAAACCTGTCATTCAGCCACCTTTTATAACAGCAACTGTGAGATAAGGTGGAAGGTGGTGTACAAATAAAGTTGCCTTCAGCTCTGGGCGCAGGAGAGGTGTGCCTCAGGATGGTCCTACCTTTCGCATGGAAAAGGAGCTACTGCACATTTACAACTTTTAACGAGAGTCAATGGGCAAAGCTTTTTGCACCCCAGGGAAGAAATAGATCACCAATCCGCCGACGAAGAAACAGCTTTACTCATCATTAAAGATTAAATATTTATCTTGCACATCTAAAAAATGTATTAATATATTTTGAAATATTTCAACTTTATAATTTAAGTTTTATTAGTTTTATGTCTTAATCAAGATCATTGGCTCAGGTGGGCAGCGCCCTTGCGCCATCTATTGGCCAGCCGCCACGTAAGCCAAATGCTGTTTGTTAGCGGGTCGACCCATGTTAACCTGCTAATTTCAGTGGGAAAGATGTTTTAGATGCTGCCAAACTCCATTTTTAGTCCATGTATTGGTGACTCTGTATAGTTGCAGAAGAAGTTTTGCTTTAGAGAATATAAAAACAATACAAGTTCTATTTCTTAGTTTCTTTTTTACCCTCTCTCTACGCTGCTTTTTTTTGTTCAGGTGTTAGAATCGTCTAAAATGGAAAACTAGGCCCCTTTAGTCTTGGTGATCTCTGTAAAATCTGTCACCTTTGTTTGGTCTCTGCATGTTGTTGTTGTTGTCGCCGCATCCGTGTTTGACTAATCTGTGTGACCTCACAACTTCCTGAAATGGCGGGATGTAAAAATATGTTTAAATATTAGCTCCTGGTTCCTTTTGAATTTACTAAGAATTTACAGAAACTTTTGTCAATTTAATGTGATTAAAAAAAACAAAAATCTATAAAGAACTGCAATAAAACTCCAATATCAAAACAATACAAAATAAATCATGTTGGCTCTTAACAGCTACTCTTTAGTTTGCTGAATTCAGTCCTCCTGTTTGCTCTTTTCTAGCTGGTGATGGAGTACTGTTTGGGTTCAGCGTCTGACCTGCTAGAAGGTAAGAGGCGATGAAACATTTACTGATATTTTATTGTGTTTTCAGTCGATTATTTATGGAAATGTACAATTTGATCTCCACAGTCCACAAGAAACCCCTCCAAGAGGTGGAAATAGCTGCCATTACCCACGGTGCTTTGCAGGGACTGGTGTATCTTCACTCTCACAACATGATTCACAGGTAACGCTCATCTCACCCCTCTCTTTATGCCCCACTCTCCTCTTCCACTCTTCTGACAGGAGATGAAGCAGAAACCAGAGGAGGCATAAACGGTTCAGCCTAACTAAGCTTATGCAACTGTTTGTGCTGCAACACTTTCTGGTACAACATGCTGCTCTCCAGCCTCCAACGTACTGACTCATCCTCTCATGTCTCACCGTTCGCGTTGCCTTCCTCCGTTTTTATCTCTGACACTTTTCTTCTGTGTTGTCCTTTCTGTCTGTTAGGGATGTGAAAGCAGGAAACATCTTGCTCACAGAACCGGGTCAGGTCAAACTGGGAGACTTCGGCTCTGCTTCCATTGTTGCTCCAGCCAACTCTTTTGTGGGAACACCATACTGGTAAAACATCCAGTCTCTTTTTTTTTTTTTTTTTATTCTCATATAATAACAGCTGGTCTGTATGTAGCGCTCCAGCACTGCCACTGAAATGCCCCTAAACAAGAGGAGGAGCTCATGTAGGTTTCATTTTCTTGTTTCTTCTTTAAATACATTTATTAAATAAAACATTTTTTGTTTATAGATTAAACTAATGAAAAGCTAAGTTTTGGCCCGATTTGGGCTAATAAGGGTAAGATTACTTAAACACATGGAAAACGCTCTCTGGAGAAAAAAAATCTGCCATCAACCACCTGAACATAAAGCAGGCAAATAATTGTTGACATTTTAAAAGCTTCCAGACTGTAGGTCTCCTACTTCTGCCCTGCCCAACAAACAAGAGGTCTGACTGTCCTGCAGCTGTAAGAACTGATGTTTTACTGTCTAGTCTGGGTAGGTTGAGTAAATCAGATTGGCGGATGGACATCCTTTCTAAAAAGCAGCTGTTTGGTTCTTCTAAACATCCGAAGGGTTTATGTCTGTTGCCAGGAAAGCTAGAGTGAAGTAACAATCAGTGTTTGCATTAAAAAAATGGTTGAAGTCGAAGATTCTGGACTAAAATAATGAGAAACTTTTTCTTTTGTTTCATAGAATATAGAAAAAAACAGCAGCTTCCTTTTTATTTTTTTATTCCAATTCTAAATTAAACATATGTTTCATACAGGGGGAGTGTTGGCCTAGTGGTTAGAGCAGTGCACTTGTACTCTTGAGAAGGTTTCAAGTACCCGATTCGATCCCCAAAGCCTGCACTCTCGCTCCCTGAACAAAACCCCTAACCCTATACTGCTCCCCAGGCACCGCAAGGGGATGGGTTAAATGCAGAGGTAAATTTCTCCAGTGCGAGATCAATAAAGTTGAATGATTTTTATTCATTTATATTTGATTTAAATGTCATTTTGAGGCTTAGATTTCTTATCATGAGCAGCAACACAGGAGCATCGAATGCTTAGAAACTGCCGACTTGGTCACAGACTGTTTTGCAAAACGGTAAAACACACTTAGAAATACCAGCTACAAGATGCTACTGGGTGTGAACATTGTTCAGAAATCCCAGTGCGAAGTTTCTGTGTGATGCACCATTTTTGAACTAGAAGGCTTGTCACCGCTGCCCTATTTCAAACTGCAGTCACATCCTGCATAGAGACAATAATAATGGCTCCTAAACTAATATACAGTAGTTATGTTCATTTGTTCCATCAATAATTTATTTGACCTTAAATTTTTCAGCACGTCCGTCTGTTTACAGAGCAAACAGCAGCAGAGGAAATGTGTGAATAAAAACATCCAAACACTTCATGGTAGCCCCATCTGACCTTATCAACCTTTTAGAATAACCTTTATCTGTTCTCCCTATACTTAATTTAATGGTGAAATTATGAATTAACAAGAGAAAGAACTGCTGTCCATTCACTGTTTATTTATGGGGTAAAAATGTTTCTTCTCTAAAAAAAAAACAACAACAACAAAAAACAAATGAACAGATGATGCACGGGTTTGTTGGGGTTGCTTTTTGCATAATAGGAAAAACAGGTATTCGTTAACATTATTCTCGTGTGGTAAAAACCATAGTTGTCTTGACTGTTTTACTTTACAGTAGCAGAATGTAGGAAATGTTCTCAATTACTGTCTTAACTGAGACTGAGTAATAACTCTGTTATTACATGTTATAATTGTTGCCATATACTCGGATAAGATTTTGAAGTAGATTGTTATGCAAATTTCTGACCTTTCCACACCCTTTATCTGGAATATATTAATGTACTTGTTGGGCATGAAGCTGAAAACGAGACAGATAAATGGCCCTAATGTAGCAAGGTTTCATTTTATTAAAGATGAGGATGTTTTTATAGGGAGCAGTCCGGTAAAGTCCAAAGCTAACGCTAGCCTGCTTACAGTCTTTGTTTTCACTTTGTTTTCACAACCAGTCCAGTTATCCTTGTAGACATTTGTTTTATTCTTTAGCTGTAAAGGCTGAAAAAAAACGTATTGAAAGAGGGAAAATCATATTTTAAATCAGCAACATAATAGCAGAGCTGATTATGTTTTGCAAGATGTGTATGCAAAAATGAAAGCTGTTGTCAACATTTCTTGTGCAAAAACCTGATTGCACAACTTTCTGTGGATTCAGCTGCTACAAACTCCCAGGCATCAAATAAATGGGTAATTTTTAATGAATGTTCACAGCCCTGGATCGCCAGAGATACTGATGGAGGAATTCAGATATTTAAAAATAGAAAGAATATGGGATAACTTTTATCAATATAATCATCATCAATGTTTAGCAACAAAATTAAAATGTTGGTTTTTATTTATAATACATGCATCTCCAAATTCACAGTTTTGTGCAGGTAATACATTAGTTTTTATGTTTTTGTTTTTTTTTACTTCTCACTCTTTCTAAATGTGCTGGAATGCGTTAATCCTAAACTTTCACACCATAAAAACAAAGAATTGCTGTCTTTAGCTTAGATGAGGTGTGTTTTAGTCACGGCCCTATTGGGGAAGCTTGCCTGCTAAAATGCAGGTAGTGTTTTTCCATCCTCGGTGTCTGATTCCAGTAGGTAGAATTACTGGAGATATAGTAGCCCCTCCCCCATATCGTCGGTGAAAGTAGTGCTGACGCTGGAAATGAAACCGCCCCATGGGGCAGCTTTGTGTTCAACGATCAAAGAAAGGAAGAAAGATTGAAATGGCCGAGTTGTTGTTGATTTCTTGTTTCCTCCATGCAGGATGGCCCCTGAGGTGATCCTGGCCATGGATGAGGGACAGTACGACGGGAAGGTGGATGTGTGGTCACTTGGCATTACCTGCATAGAGCTGGGTAAGAGATGGCCCTAAAATAGTCCCATTAGAGTCTAAATGATAGACGTGTTCATAAAGCTGAAACCATTTCCTCTTTCTTTTATGTCACTCTTTGTTTGTGTTATGCTTTGTCACTTTGTAGCGGAGAGAAAGCCTCCTCTGTTCAACATGAATGCTATGAGTGCCTTATACCACATCGCCCAGAATGAGAGCCCCGTGTTGCAGTCAAATCACTGGTGAGAAATGACTATTAGGCGGAGTGGGAATGGTTCTTTATCCGCTAGGGTTAGGTCAAAAGCTAATTATCTTGCTTCAGATGATATTCAGTTGTCTAGATGAATAAAAAACAAAGTAAACACTGAAGCAAACAAGCCTTTACTTGCATGTTCTGTCACTTCAAACAATAATGTTGTCTTATTACATCATTATGATGTCCCTTTCCTATGGGGCTTTAATGTCAACATAGCAAGATGTCTGAGATTGTTTAATAGATTCTTAAATTATATTTGAAATTAAAAAAAACCTACAGCCTTCATGGTGATTGAAAGAAGTTATACTGACTTTATTGCATTGTACCTCTATTTACAACAACTGCTGTACAATAAAACCGACCACAAGACAAACAAACCAAACAATAAAAGGCACAAAGGAGCAGTTAAGGTTAACAACAAAGGAGAGGCCAATGACACTAAAATCAAAGAGTGGATTTGAAATGAAGGTAGTCATGATTTTACCCTTGATCTAAAAGAAGAGGTTCAAATATTTGTTCTGGAAAAGGGTAAACATGAAATAAAGGTTTCTACTTTATTTGTCATGATGAAGTATTCTAGTTTAGGAGCTGCGTCGACCAAGACCTGAGAGAGGGACATTTGCATAAATATGTAGCGATTCAAATAAAGCTTAACTGACTTTATAGAAATAAGAATCTTAAAAATTATTCATCCTTGGACTGATAGGCATTTGAAAGGCGGATCCTTTTTTCGATCCAAAACTAAACCAACTAGTCTAAAAGTAATCTTTAAAATGGCAAATCTAACAATTCAAACCACAAGATTAGGTTTGTTTTGTCTCAATGCAAGAATTATTATTTAATAAAAAAAAAAACTAAAAAAATCTATATAATTATTCATATTATATTAAACAATATCTTCTTTACAAGGTAGTACAGTAGCGGCTGGGAAGAAAAATGTCCATTGGGCTTCAGTAGAAAATAAAGGATAAAAATCGGGAAATCTTATGCTTGCTGGAAAATATGTTTGTTTATTTATTTAAAAAGGACAGGGAATAGAGCCCTGTGGTATTCCCCAGGAAGGGTTAGGAAAGGTGGGGATAAAATCATTGCAGAGCAGCTGTTGAGTGCATAACAAGTCAAACATCCAACAGTCTAATGCAAAAACATCTTTGAATTATAGCCTACTCTGCAACGAAAATAAGGTTTTTTATTTATTGTGTTTTTCAGGTCAGATTATTTCCGGAATTTTGTGGACTCTTGTTTGCAGAAGCTCTCCCCGGACAGACCTACCTCTGATGTGCTGCTTAAGGTACAGACATTCTAGAGATGAATGTTGTGCAGTGATGCAGGAAGGCTTGAGATTATTAGCATTATTTTGGTGATGGACAAATTGGAAGAGATTAGAGGAAATGTCTTTTATTGCAGGATGTTTTATTTTGATAGGTCACAATTTTCATACATTTCATACATTGAGCTGATGAATATGACCGGGAATCAAAGTATTTGAGCTAATGGTGTAGTAATGTTTTTTTTTTTATTATTAAGAGTTAATGGTTCTTCTTTTAAAAGCATTAACCAACAGAGGCCCTCCGTCATATTTTCACCCCCCTGTTTCTGTCTCCTTGCTCTGTCCTTCCATTCAGCACCACTTCCTATGCAGAGAGCGTCCAATGACTGTAGTGATGGACCTGATCGCGCGAACCAAGGATGCTGTCCGGGAGCTCGACAATCTGCAGTACCGCAAGATGAAGAAAATCCTGTTTCATGAGGCCCACAATGGTCCAGCACCAGAAGGAGGCGATGAGGAAGAGGTGAGGTTGAGATGGAGGAGAAAAGGAAAGTTTAGAAAATAGAATATGTCAGACTTAATTTCCTTTTGTATTATCTTTCGATCCTATCTGTCCATCCATTTTGAATTAGATCATAAACTCATTTGTCATTCAATATATCTTCTATATTTTTATTTTCTAAGCTGGTATGTTTATGCCACCATTTCTAGATAACCTGCAGAGGAAAAATAGTTTTTCTCTATTTCAGATCCAAGTTCCTCATTCTGCTTCCGTCTTTTTCCCCAGGATGTGGAAGGGTACATGTTGCGCACCGGGACAGTGAACAGTATGGAGAGCTCCCACTCTCTACCGTCCATGTCTATCAGCGCCAGCTCTCAGAGCAGCTCGGTCAACAGCCTGGCAGACGGTTCGGATGACAGCGGAGAGATGGTCATGATGCAGGAGGGAGAGCACACCGTCACCTCCAACAGCTCAGTCCTGCACAAACCTCTGGTCAGTCCAGGCGCTTTATTTTATTCTGTTGTTTATTGCATGTTTTAAAGAAAGAGCTATGAGGTAATAAAAACACATTATGGAGCAGAAAGTAGTAGCTAAATGCTCCCTTTTGATTGATTGATAACTTTATTGATCTCACAGTTGAGAAATGTACCTTTGCTCTGTTTTTCAGTCGCAGCAGCAAGAAATAGTATTAGCAAAATGTATTTTTTGATTTTTAACCAGTTATTTGGTTCAAGATCCTTTTAAAGATGTTTGGGTTTGATACACTCAGTATCTGTTTCAGTGCCTGAAAGCTAAAATTAAGTTGTTTTGGTTGAATTCAAAAATTCTAACTAGTGCCCCCTAGAGGAAGTGTGAAGTAACGGCACTACAGGGTTCCATCTAGAGATGTCTGTGCTACTATTGGAAAAGCAGAATTATTGGACTGAAATGATGAAAAACAAAGCAGCATTATTTGTTTTAAGTCAGAAAAAAACAAAATTATGAAACTGTCTGCCCTTTTCTTTGAGGTCAGAAAGGCTCTTTTGGACACCATTGTTCTTCATCAAAGAGACATTTATGTGCTTAATACTTTAACTTGTGACTCCTAGTTTGTTATGGAAGTATAGCATAAACCAGAAAATCTTATTATTTACCAAAACCCAAAAAGTAGCATTAAGATTTTGATCAAATAAAATAAATCAGAATATTTTATTTAAAATAAAACAAAATATATATGTTAAGTACAGATATTATTTTGGTATATTTGTTATTAAATTCATGATATTTTTTTTTCACTGGCAGATCACAATACTAAAAGACTTTAAATCGGTTAGGAAAAAATTATTCAAAGTTTCTTTCCATTTATAGAGCCATGACAACATCTACGATGATCCATATCAGCCAGAGGTGGACTCTCAACGGGAAGCTTCGTCTGGTGGCGGCGGGGGAGGGGGAGGCGGCGGCAGACGGCGACGCCGGGACCACTTTGCCACCATCAGGACCGCCTCATTGGTCACTCGTCAGATTCAGGAACACGAGCAGGGCTCGGCTCTCAGAGAGCAGATGTCGGGGTAAGATCAGAAAGGATGTGGAAAGTTTAGATTATGGAAAAAACTAATTCATAGCACAGAAAGGTCATAAAAATGGTGTTGGAGCTCAAGTCGTTCCTGCTGAATGATTTTGATGTAGGTACAAACGTATGCGGCGGCAGCACCAGAAGCAGCTGATGGGTCTGGAGAACAAGCTGAAATCAGAGATGGACGAGCACCAGCTGAGACTGGATAAAGAGCTGGAAAACCAAAGGAACAATTTCTCCATGGAGCTGGAAAAACTGTCAAAGAAGAACCAGGCTGTCCTGGAGAAGGAGGTGAGCATAGGCTGGAGCTAGAAGAGCTAACCTAACTCCTACCACAATCTACTTCTTCAGTTCAGGGGAAACTTGTGGAAAAATGCTGCTCTCACATTCAAGAAATGTTTGTTGTTTGAAAAATTTCTAATTGAGATTTTTTGATTTGCCCAGACAAAGGCTGTCGTAACAGAGGAGAAGAAGTTCCAGCAGCACATCCTGGGCCAGCAGAAGAAGGAGCTGACCAGTCTGCTGGATTCCCAGAAACGCCAGTACCGACAGCGCAAAGAGCAGCTTAAAGAGGTGCCTCCAAACCCAACCCAGACACTCACTGCTGAAGATTATTTTGACCTATCCGTTATCCTGGTGCTAATTGTTTGCTGATGCTGTCATCTCTTTGAAGGAGCTGAACGAGAACCAGTCCACACCGAAGCGGGAGAAGCAGGAGTGGCTGGTGCACCAGAAGGAGTGTATGCAGCAGCTGCAGGCAGAAGAAGAAGCCGGGCTGCTGCGGAGGCAGAGGCAGTATTATGAGCTCCAGAGTCGGCAGTACAAGAGGAAGATGCTGCTGGGCCGCCACAACCTGGAGCAAGACCTGCTCAGAGAGGTTCGACTGTCTTCTTCATTTATAACCTCCTGATGCTGTGTGCTGTAGATGTGAGGAGAGGTAACTGAAGTGATGCTTTAATTCATCTTGTAGGAGCTCAACAAGAAGCAGACTCTGAAGGACCTGGAGTGTGCCATGCTGCTGCGCCACCACGAGTCGACGCAGGAGCTGGAGTTCCGCCAGCTGGGCGTGGTGCAGCGGACGCGGGCCGAACTGATCCGCACGCAGCACCAGACGGAGCTCACCAACCAGATGGAGTACAACAAGAGGCGCGAGCAGGAACTGAGGCAGAAACACGCCGTGGAGGTCCGGCAGCAGCCCAAAAGCCTCAAAGTGAGTGAGAGCGCCCAGAGCCAGGGTTCGCCTGAGGAGGGTCCCGTCGGGAGCTGGGACGATGAGGCGGTACCCGGGAATAATGAGTTAGCAGAGGGGGATGGAGTGATGGAGCAGGAAGAGCTCAGAGATGGTGATGATTTTAGAGAAGAGGAGGTGGATGGAGGACATGTCTCAGATAGTGAAAGGAAGTATGAGATGGATGAGGTTAGTGAAAGGAAGGGAAGTGATGTAAGAGAAGATGAAGATGTTGAGGAGAGGGAAGTAGAGGGGGTACGGTGGGAGGACGAGGAAATGCAGGATAAGATTTGTCACATTGACACTGATGAAGAGGAAGAGGAGAGCCGAGGCGTGGCCGACGGATGTCCATCAGAGCTCATCTCCTCCCCAGAAAGGAGGCGGCACCGCGAGCGACAGCTGGACGAGCTTTCAGAGTTTTATTTTCCTGAAACCCTGGAGGAGCTGGAGCCCGTTCCCGTCTCCTCTCCTCCTACCGCTCCCCCTGCCCAGACCTCCTTTCCCTCCCTCTTTTCTCACGCCATCTGCCTCCTCCTTTCCCTCTCTGCCGCCGCCCAGCCCTCCAACCTCACCCTGCTGCTGCTCTCCATCTTCCTGCTCTCGCTCCGCCGCTCTCCCCCCCTGCCCTCCGTGGCCTCGGTGGTGCTTTCGGCAGAGCTGGCCTTCTTGGCGCTCTTCTTCTCGTACCTTCTGCTGCGGTCGTGCTGCTCGCTGTCTCTCTCCACCTTCCTGTCACTCAGCCTCTGGGGCAGCGGTCTCTTCAGTTTAGGCCTGTCCTTCAGTTTAGGGATCTACTACATCCCCATCATTTTAATCTCTGCCTCTTTCCTCAGCTCTCCCTCCCTCTTTCTCTCTCTCTATCTGCTTGTGGTTCTTGTCGTCAGACCGGCCCGCAACTTCTTCCAACAGGCTCCTCGTAAACTCAACCGCTTGTGCATGCGTGTGCTTTTCCGCCTGCCCCGCCCTCTGTTTGCCATGTGCCAGTCGGTGTTGGGTGGCATGGCCGAGCGAAACCTTTACGAGATGTTCCCCAAAGCAGGCCGCAACTGGGGCGTCCGTCAGTCCAGGATCCCTGTCCCTTTAAAGAGCCTGCCGTCTGAGCATCTGGCTCATTGCAGCAGCACCTCTCATCTAGCTAAACTGCTGCTGTGGCTGAGGCGTTTTAGCAGACGCCCACTCGGCGTGCTAGCGGACTTTGCTAACACTATCATCCTAAAACTCGCCAGGCGGATCCTTAAAAGCCTACCGCTCCGTTTCCGGGTTAAACTTCAAACCCTGGGCGTCCTGAAGAAGGAGCTGCCCAGCAGGTTGCCTCGGCTCTTGCCCAGGGAGGTCCGAGAGAGGAGGCAGAGGGAGAGAAGAAGGAGAGAGAGGGAGAGGAAGAGGAGGGAGGAGAGGGACAGGATGTATCGAGAGGAGGGGAGATGGGAATGTGGACTTAGGAGAACTGCATCTGGAAGGTTTGTGAAGGGGAAAATGCGGCCGTGGAGATAGCAGAAGGTGTAGGACAATGTGTGTTTGAGCTTGTTGATCATCATCATCATCACTTTAGGATCCCTCCTGTTAGATGATTCCCCCAAACAGGTTCATGGTCTCATTTCTGATTCCCTGAAATGGTTTCAGGTCTGAACAAGCAGTGAATCTTTCCCATTTCCCTATTGTGCTTTTTGTAAAAGTTCTTAAAAAATTCATCAATTATTATTTTGTTCTTAATTTCTAAGAAGAATCTTTTTTATTGTTATTTTAAGACCGTTTTAATTTTTTTTTTCTTCTGTTATTTTTGTGCAATCCTGTGTTTTCCTTTATAGTGGTCTTATCTGAATGTGCGCACTAGTTTGCCAGTGCTCAGAACAAATATGTCAGTGTTACTCTCCACAAATGAAACTTCACTCCTTACTGCTAAACAAGCTGTGAAAATAAAAAGGGTTTTGATTTCAGAGCGATTTCAATAACGTCACACTGAACACTAGTTATCAGTCAGAATAAAAGTGCAATAAAGGGACGAGTAGATGTACAGCGCCAGACTAATTTACTGTCCCCATGTTAGATGAAAGTGACCCTCAAATCCATCTCTTAATGACAAAGTCAATTGATGAAAATTCAACCTTTCAGTTTAAATGTGTTTCTTTTAAATGGAAAAGCTCAGAAGAAATAGAAAAGTTTCTTTCTCCTTAATATATATAGGAGACGTGGGCCCAGAGCATCACAGATCCTCCACCATACTTAACATTGGACAGATGCTCTGATGCTTAGAACAGAAAACAGATTAATGAATTATGATGATAAATGCCTAATTACCTGGCACTTTCTCTGTTTTCCCCATTTTAAGAGTGGCTACAAGAAGGTGCATGTATACCAGGACATTTATACCTCAGCTAATCTGCAGTGGATCTGTCATTAAACGCTCCCAGAGCCACCAATCTTTTTTTATTATTATTATTATTTAAAGCCTTAGTGTAAAACAAGGATTTAGTTGCATTGATTTCATATAACCAGTCTGGGATAGCTTTTAACACGTGAGTTATTTCCTGCTAAATTCATATATTTAAACTAAAAGTTGTTTTTTTCCCTTAATTTTGCTAGATTTTCTGGAGTAATAAAATATACAGTTCATTTAAACTCATTAAAATACAATAATGTGCCAATAAAATATTGACGTCGCATTTAAAAGCTAGTTTCATAAAGCATGTGAAATCAGCCTTCTTCAGATCGCCTTTACGTTTGCGATCTTATTGCGCTCAATGCAATAGCCTTATGATTTACAATGTAAACATTTCCCCCTTTTTCAATGTTAAAGTGCCTATTTTCAACTGTTTGCACAAATTTTAATCTGTTGTGAAGAAAGGTAGCATATAAGAGAAAGCGTATAAAAACTAAGATATATCTTGTAGTACTTATAGCTTAATATATTTAATATATCAGCATGACTTTATTTTATTGAAGCCATATTGCTTTGGCAATCATTTGAAATATATAAAGCCACATTATGTGAATGTGATGGACAGAACGGCTCGTTACCAAAAGATAAAAGTCTGGAAATATTAACATTTCCCGTCTCTCTTTCCTAAAGGTGGTTTCATTCTTTATAAGAAAAAGAGGGCAAACAAGGAAGAAAAGATTTATCAGATTTATTTATTCTTTTTTATCAAGGTCAGGTCTTTAAAACCTCCAGCATTGGTGCAGCTACACTTCACCTAATGTGTCCTTATTTCTATCAGGAACCAAAGATTTTCAGTGACCAAGCTAAATGATGGAAGATTAAAAACTTCCTGTCTTTCTAAAAGCTAAACCAAAGGGCTATTTTTCTACCACCTCTTGCTTAACTGCTACCAAATGTCTGCAAAGTTCAGAGCTTTCATACATAGATGGCAGAGGTTTAATCTGGATCCAGTGAGATGGTTAGAAAAGCTTGCTGTACAGTGAAAATGAAGGAATTAACAGCTGTGCTTCTGGAGGAGATTTAAGCCATGATGGAGGATAAAACGACTAAAAGAAAAAGTCGTTTTCGCTGTGAAATGACCCCAAAGTGGAGCTTTAAAAGAAAAATCTGCTTTTTTTGAATGTATCTTGCCATTGATTTGCATCTTTGTTCAGTTATCACCCATGTTTACATGTTGCATTGTGTTTTATCATGACTGAGTTTTGACTTCCTATAGTTATATCCCTGTTTTTTTTTATTTTGTTTTTATTTATGCAGTATTTCTAAAAGTAATGCTGCATTGTTGCCTTACTTCTTCTTGTCCTCCTTTAGCTGCAGGACTGAAGGCATTCTGTAACGCTGTGTGCTCCCAAGCAATGAAAAACATTTTTTTGTTATATTTAGATTTTTTATTTGCACAGAAATAAATTCTTTTGTTTTAAATTCATTGTCTTGTCTGTTTTTTTATGTTAATCCATTTTTGTCACTTCATTTGTTTTCTCTTCTCCCTTTTTTCTGTTTTTTTTTTTTTTTTCCAGATTCCCCGTCTTTTTTTCCCCTCCTGTATCACATCCGTTTCCTGTCCATTTGTTGTTCACATCCTCAACCTGATAACGGCTAAAGCTTCATCTTGCATTACATTTTAATGGCGTCTTTTTGAAGTACAGAAATAGATATGATTGACATATAATTATCCCAAGAAATCAATAAGTTTAATATTTGGCAGATTTTTGCCTCTTGAGTGTCATGCAGTGTCTTGATGTATCTTACAGAGTGCATCCAGAAAATAATCACCCTGCTGATACCTTATAGCTTTAATCCTAAAGAGATTAAATACTTGTTTTACTTTTAAATTCAACCCACAACATCCCTTAATAATGGCATGAATAAAGTGTATTTTTTTTTTATTTGGGGGAAAATATATAAAAAAATCAATAAGGAAATCAGATGTAGTTAAGTATGTGCAGCCTTTGCTCAACATGATGATGCACCTTTTGCATAAACAAGATGCATCCAGCTTTGCAAACCCACCTGTATCCAGTTCAGCCCATTCCTCTTTGCTGTTTGGATGGGGAATCTTGGTGGGCAGATGTTTTCTAGTTAAGCTGCTCGAGGATAGTTGTCCTAAAGCCACTCGTTTGGTATCATGACTCCGGTTTTGGGTTGTCCTGCAGAACGGTAAACCATCTCCTCTCTCTGAGGCTAAAAGCTCAACGGAAAAAGGAATCATCTTGCGTACATCCAAACCTACGTTCAGCTCAGGTGCAGGATATTCAAAAAACCCAAAGAACAGAAAAGAGACAAATCCACACACTCGTTTAAAGCTCTGTGTCTAAAAATATGCCCATAAATGTGCTTAACCTTGCATGTTTGTGTTTGTGCAACGTGAAGCACTTACCCATTGGCACATCTGCACTGTGCTGATGTATGCCCATTTATGGCCTTTCTGTGGGAAAAGTCAGCCGATTTTTTTTTATCATCTACAGCCAATGAGGGAATGGTCGTATTTGACTCTTGACCTATAAAACATCTATTTGCAAAAAAAAAAAAAATTTAAAAAATTGGTCTTTATTGAAGTTCCACAGATTCCAGACCTGGTTTTATTTATTCTACAACTAGTGTAGAATAATCTAGTCCAGTGTGATATGTCTAGGTCAGTGGTGCTCAAGTCCAGTCCTCAAGAGCTACTATCCTGCACCTTTTTGATGCACCCCATTTTTAAAACACCTGAATTAAATGAGTGGCTTGTTACTGTTCCTCTGCTGAGCTAAATGAGGGAATTGAGCCTTTAGATTCAGGTGTGTTAGGGAAGTGATACATCTAAAAGTTACAGGATGGTAGCTCCTAAAGACTGGACTTGAACACCCCTGGTCAAGGTGTTGTAGCTTTAATTGGAGTAGATTAAAGATGCTGAAGGTAGCAAAACATTTAGTAGAATCGACCTTTATTAATTTCCCGATTCAGAAGCTAAAATCAGAAGCTTCGTTAAAAGCTCACTGGATCTGAATTTTATCCAGGGTTAATTTGCATTGCTGCATTTGTCTTTCCTTCCACCTCAATCAGCTGCTGAAAAGCATCCCCACGCCATAATGCTCCAACCACCATGCTTTATTATTGGGGTTGGTATTGGCCACCTAATGTTGGATTCCTGGTTTCATCCCAACATGATGCTTTGGATTCCTCCTAAAAAGTTGTTAGCCTATTCAGTTCTGAAGGCGCTTTTTACTTAAGCATAGCTTTCTTCTGGATTCTGTCATGCTGGCAAGATTAGTGAATTACTTCAGAGATTTTTGTCCTGGAAGCTTCTTTCTCAAAAATCTAGCCTTATATCTCTAATAGATTGACTGTTGGGTTTGCAGTCTACTCGCTGACTGAAGAGGTAAGAAATGTCTTCCTCCCTTGGTTTGGATGACCATCCATCACAGCAGCATTTGATCCCAAACATCTGACATTGGTTTTCATCTCCTAGACATATTATAGACGGGTTTGGGCTTCATCCTGTCTAACCAAACCAGTTTACCACAGCTGGACTCAGATGAAGCTGTAGAAACATCTAAAGGGCAGTCAGAGGGACAAAGCTGTTTTTATGTATTAACCAAAATTTAAACCTGAATCTTCAGAGTCAAGACAAAAATAAAGACAGACATTAAGCTACCGCTGATATGTTCATAAGGTGAGGAAATAAAAGGCAGATCAATATATTTAAACCTCTATTATTTTTTCATAGTGACATTTGTAGACCAAACCATTAGAAATTAAATCTAATCAGAGTTGTAAGTCTTTTTTAATGTTCCTCAGTGTAACATGAAGTCATCAAATCTTCCTGGAGCTGAGGCGAAGGTCATCTTTAGCTTTCATATATATATATATATATATATATATATATATATATATATATATATATATATATATATATATATATATATATATATGTAAGTTTTTTTTTATTAACTTGCTCTAAATGTTACCAGTTACTACCAAGCTCTGGAAATGAGACCGTCATCTCAGATTAAACAATATAGAAGCTTATTATTGTAATGTAGCTGTTTATCTTAACATAGTTTTACTGTTTTTTTTATCAAAACTTTATTTATAAAGCGCTTTTTATATGAGAAAATACCTAAGGGGTTGAATAGGTGAATAAAAATAGAAGATGAAATTATGACAAAAGCAGAAAGTAAATAAATAAAATACTCAGTAAAAGATTTTTTTTTTTTTATAGATTTCGTTCGTTTTATAGATTTTGAAGATTTTAGAAAGAGTGAGACTGTTCCAGCGTTTATAGGAGCTGCAGCTGAAAAGCTTGGGTCTCCCCTCAGGAAACAATCAAGAGCACTTCTCCAATTAGAGGCTCTAAAACCTTCATCTTCTGACCCACAAATGCGACCAGAATGGATTCATGACATAAACTATTGGCTGAGTATAAAACCGCTTCTACAAAATGAACTAACCAAAGGTGTAATAATATTACAAACAGTATCTGAAACCAAAGTAGATGCTTTTGTCCATTTTCAAGTGATGCTCTTATGTCTTTAGTTTAATTTCTGTAGTGGATATTAAGACCCTTCCCTGGTTGATAAAGGTCACAACACCAGTTTTGGGAATCGTTACTCATCAAGAAAAATAATTGGGTTGTCAGACGATTAAAATATTTTCAAAAACAAAGAATAGACTCTTAAAAACCTTTGGGGTAAAGTGCTCACAAATATTGCTTTCTTTTTTATTATAAGCTCCAAAACTTAAAGGTTGAAAGCCCTCCCAACCATGACCATAATCTTAAGGTGCCTCTTCAGATTATAGTTGGGACTTTTGACTGGGCTGCTCAAAAACTTTATACTTCTAAGTAGAAAAAAATAACAATTAGAAAAACCTGTATCTATTTATACAGGTAATACGATAAAACAAAACAAAATGTTTCTATATGGGGAAAGTCAGCAGATTGCGAGGACTCATTGACTCTCTGCAATCCTTCACACCGAGCATGCATATGGCGATAGTGGAGAGGAAAATTCCCTTTTAACAGAAAGAAACCTTCAGCAGAGCCAGGCTCAGTGTGAGCGGCCATCTATGGGTCCGACCAGGGTTCAAGGAGATGGAAGCAAAGACATAAACAAAATAAATTCATTAGTGCTCACGATGCCGGTCATGCAAGCTAACGCTAACTCATCTACAGAAAAATGAAAGTAATAAACTCACCGTTGAATTAGCGTTAACTTGCATGACCAGCTCCGTGATGCTGGTTTTCCTTCAGTATGAGCACCAAAAGCATCACGTCACGTGACTAAGTAAACGTAACGGGATTGGCTGGGTGTTGGACACCCCAATCCATCGCTAATGTCTGTGACCTGAAGCAACCCTTCCCTTTTTTACACTGAATTTAGACGCCAAATTTAAGACAGTGAAATAGAGCCAGTTGAATCTCAGGAGCCTGAAAATATTGAGTTTGAATTTTGAAAGGTTGAATTTTTTTTTAGATTTTCAGATTTTTTTAACACTCAAAAATTAAACTGAAAAATAAGTATTGAAAATGTAATCACTTTGAAATAGTTATGTGAATTTTTAGCTTGAAGAGAAAATAACAAATGAAATTTCAACTGTGTAAAAATAATGACAATTAAGTTTTTTAGGTCTAAAATGTGTTCTGAATATATTTTAACACTGAAACAGTAAGTACAAACATACAACATTTAAATTTCAGTAGCATTTTTAATTCAAATCCCAGCGACACAGATTTTCTTCCATAAATTAATCTTTATCATGGCAGTACAAAAACAGCCAAAGTAGTTTTACTACTAATACTTTTTTTTTTAATACTGTGCAACTGAGGTTTAAAGTGATACACCCATATAAGTGACAACTATGCCCAACAAACAAGGCTTCATCATTAAAGGTATAGTGGACGATTTTTTTTTCCATGTGGATCATCACTATAAGTGGTCCTCGTAATTGTCCATCATTCTGGTGACATGTTGACATAAGGCTCTCCTATTTGCTCATCCATATTTTCACATAGTGGAAAAATTGCATGGAAGGTAAGCTTGTATGAGCGATGCAAACAGCAACATTTAAACACAGCGTGCACATGGAGAAATGGACTCGGTTATGCTTTGGCACATGTTTAATAGGAGTTCTCTCTCGGGAGCGGGTGCAGGGTTGTGCATCGGCATCTTTTTTTAAAAGTGGAGAGGGCGGGTCTTTTCAAAAATCTGCGAAAATCCTCCACTATACCTTTAAGATATGTTCGCCTTCTTTTCTTCAAGCTACCCTTTAATTCAAAAGCCTACAAATCAGTTATTGTTTATGTTTATTCACTCATGCTCTCTGTGAACCACAGAAGCTTTTCAGCACAGATTTCTCCATCTCTCCTCTCTCTCTCCTCCAGTCCAAAGAGCTCCAGATAAAGCGTCAGTTCCAGGACACCTGCAAGATCCAGACCCGCCAGTACAAGGCCTTACGAAACCACCTGCTGGAGAACACCCCCAAGTCGGAGCACAAGGCTGTGCTGAAGCGGCTGAAGGATGAGCAGACCCGTAAGCTGGCCATCCTGGCTGAGCAGTACGATCACTCCATCAACGACATGCTTTCCACTCAGGCTGTGAGTAAAAACAGACATCACTTCACATTCAACCTGCTCCTTCATGGCTGTATGCCAAACCAGCTGATCCTTCAGCTGGTTACAAAAACTCCCCTTCCTTGGTTCAGAGCTGATAACCCACCCTGCTCTGTTCATCCCAAACATTTGAGGAGGATTAATCAAGAAAGGATTTTATTCCAAATGAAGACAAACATCTGGAGGAACAAAGGATAACCACATAAGGCCGATGGAGCAGGAATTTTAGGTCGATCTGAGTGCAATCTTGCAGATTTTCACCAAACTTAATGCAACTCACATTAGTAGTATCTCTGTTACTTGACTTTCTTTATAATTACTGCATTAATTAAATACAGACATGTCTCATGGTTTCTCTCCTCTTTTCTTTAGATGTATACATCTATACGTCACTGGATTAAAAATCTACAGAGGCTTATAAAAACATCCATACTCCCTAATCCTTATTGGGATTTTGTGTTATTACAACGTATTGCATAACTGTGATCTAGAAAGAATTCTTACTTTTGTTTCACATGAAAATCTGAAGCAAGGCTTATATTTCATAAAGCCCCTTTTACATTGGTACTCACCATTTAAATACAATTGGATCATATCTGTTTTTAGGTTCGGCAATGAGAATAACAACTGAGTTTTTTGACCAGCATGCAAAATACTGTACATCATTACTAGGTAAAGAATGGTGGTGGAATCTGGTAGGAGTCATAGGACAATGGCTAGAGCTGTAAAAAAAATCAGTTGGCAGAACTATTAGATGTTTGAAAAATGAGCAGCAAGAGAAAAGCTACTGGCAACCATATGTTTGCAACAGACCATGTGATATAAATTCCCCTTATTGACCTTCCTGCAAAAGCTATAAATCTGTGGTAGTCTTCTAAAAGCATTTCAGGGGCTTTATGCTCTGGACTTGCATTTCTTCTGTAATTTAAATGTTACTCTGCTTCAACACACCCGAAACAAACGATAAGGTCATTAGTAAGAATCTGATGAAGTCCAGTTTAGCATCTGTGGCTTGATTTAAAAGTTAAACAATCACAGCCGTTCACCATTACTGCTTACTAGGGTGGAGCAGTGGTTAACACCCTTACCTTATATACATATTCACTTACATATTCCTTACATATTCCTCTACATGTACGGCTCCATCATTATGTTTTTTACATCTGAAGCTGCAATCAGTGCAGATATATATCCTTCAGTACTGGTTTAGGGAACTAGTTGGAATTAGATGTTACTTACTGTAGTTTAAACATGTAATATGATTGAAACCAGTAAAACTAAACTGTCTTTGTTTCCAAAAACACACAGGTTTTCGACTCATGAGCCTGTCCTACACACTGGGGTTGTTTTTCTAGGATTTTTTACAAGCTCTTGCCTTTTCCCCACGTTTTTCATCAGAGTTTGGGTTATGACTGAATAATATATTGGAAGAGGGTCGAGGCAGGTTAGGATTTAACCCTCTGTTTAACTGTAAGTACCTCACATGACAATCACCTCTGCCCAACACTGTGTCTCTCCTCATAGAGAGCGAAAAAATCTAAAGAACCACTGAGGTCAAAAACATTTTTATCTAACGTAAGACCTAGCCTGTGTCCTCAACTGATGCATGTCCAGGTCAAACATGCAAATATCAACAAATTTTAAAAGTTTTTTCTTTGCTTTTTACTAAGTTTAAGATGCACATCAACAATTTATCTGATAATTTGAATTATTGGTGAAGCCTGCAGTCAAGGTCTTTGGCCGTGATCCTAGAGTCCAACTGACCTCTTATTTCCACAAAAACCTGCCTGACAAATAATTCATGGGATCATCTGCACAGGGCCGTGGACAAGAGATGTTCTTACAATCTGATAGAGGTAAAGAAATGTTCCAAGTTAGACCAGCTGGGACATTCTGATAGATTTCAGCTATAAAAAAGTAAATGCTGCGGTTGAACGAAGCACACCTCAACAGCTTTTAAGAAGTCCACAGTTCTGCATTACTGGATGAACATGTTTCTCCCAACTTTTTTTTTTTCTGTTAAATTGCTCAGAATAAGTGTTTAAAATGATTACTTGAATCTGTTTGCATCACAAAAACCAGGCATTATAACAACGTCTGAGATCCAGGCCCATTTTTAACCTCTCTTCCTCGCTGTTCTTGCCTCCTAGTTGCGGTTGGATGAGACTCAGGAAGCGGAGTACAAGGTGCTGCGAATGCAGCTGCAGCAGGAGCTGGAGCTGCTTAACGCCTACCAGAGCAAGATCAAGATCCACACGGATACACAGCACGAGAGGGAGGTCAAGGACCTGGAGCAGAGGGTGTCCATCCGCCGAGCACTACTGGAGCAGAGGGTTAGAGAGCTAATTTAAAAAGAATACAGAATTTATTATGCATCTCTGATTTTCTGACTCAAATACATAGACACCCAGATAAGCTCATAGTTTGAACAAACTTAGAAGAAGCAGCTGCATGTACACTGCAAAAAATTAATTCTAAATAAGTATTTTTTTCCTAAAATAATTGCATTTTTTCTTGAATTGAGGAGGTGAGACTTTTAGCCAATTGAACAAGACAATTTACATTTAAAATAAAAAAAAAACAATTACATTGTTTATTTCAATTGCATATCATCCAATTATCTTATTTTAAAAGTAACAAATCTCATTTAATTTACAAATCATCTTATTTCCTTACTCAAATTAAGGGTAAATGCACTTAATTTAAGAACTTCTTGCACTGTTTTTGCAGTGTAGAAGGTTTGATGTGTGTGTTTTTGGTTACTACCACCTTCATTGCAAAGCCTGATAAGAACACAGAATCTCAACATGTGTTTTGTGTTTTCATTGTTTTTGTAGATCGAGGAGGAGATGTTGTCTCTGCAGAATGAGCGCTCAGAACGCATCCGCACCCTCTTGGAGCGGCAGGCCAGTGAGATTGAGGCCTTTGACTCTGAAAGCCTCCGTCTCGGCTTTAGTAACATGGCTCTGATGGGCATGCCTGGTGAGGCCTACGCCAAGCAGGGCTACTCCAACGCTCAGCCCTCCAGCTCTCGCTCAGCTGGCCACTGGAGCCATGGGGTGCACCAGCAGAACATGTCGCAGCAGCTGTCCCGCCGCAGCCACAACAGCAGCAGCAGCAGTGGCATTGGCAGCAGCTCAGGGGACCGGAGGAGCGAATCCTCCTCCTCCTCCCATGGTGTGGGGATGGCTCTTGGGCACGGGCGGGACAGCAGGGAAATGCACCACTCATCCCGTTCCTCAGCCTCCTCTTCCTCTTCTTCTTCCTCGTCGTCCTCCCATCACCAGCGCCATCACCTGCCCCAGCACTACCACCATCAGAGCACGCCGCAGCTCTACCGGGAGCGGGAGCGGGAGAGAGATCGGGACAGGGAGCGGGAGAAGGAGAGGGAGCGGGAGTGGGCTGGAGTGCGAGGCTCCGGCGGTGACCTGGCCCACCCACACCCCCTGCCCTTCTCCCATCACCTCCCCTCTCGTTCCTCCTCCCAATCCCTGGCCATGCTTCCTCCTCCACCACCTGCGCCTCCTTCCATCTCTGGCCCCTCATCTTCCTCGTCTTCCTCCTCCTCATCGCAGGGCGGGATATACAGCGGCGGTGGGCTGGCCGTTCGTGGTACCCCCAACCTGATGGCCCTGAGAAACAGCCCCCAGCCTCTGAGGAGGACGGCATCCGGCGGGGGCCCCGGTGGAGCTGGAGGCAGCGACGGCGTCCTGAGCCGAAGCACCTCGGTCACTTCACACATCTCCAATGGCTCCCACCTCTCCTACTCTTAGAAAGAGGTAGAACATCCTTCACCGTGGGGGCAAGAAGAGCGGGATCCATTTAGGAAGGTAGCTATTACAGGCTGCATCTCAATACTCTCAGCTTACCACCTTCCTCCATCTTCGCGGCAGACTTCAACACCTGGAACAGTAGACCTGCAGATCTTTATGCACCATAGGTCAGAGAGATCAGAAGGAAGGGGTAATCTGGCACCATTGAGCTGCAGCCTGCCTCTTTAGACTGGCTTAAGAGATTTTCTCCCATTCTCACTGATATTACAAGGGGAGGAATGTAACCACCTGTATCTTCACTGGATCTCGGTGAGATTAGATGTTTTTATTCAGTGTTTTTATCTCTGTTACTGTATAAAAAGAGTAAGGTAGGATGTGTGACCAGGAGGACGTTTGGCCTTTATTTCCTCCTGCAGCTCCCAGAGACAGACAGGCAGTGGGGAGAGCAGCCATGTCCCAGGGTTCCTACATAGTCTGCAAAGCTATGGAGCTCCTTTCCTCCATCCTCCTTTACTTCCGGTTAAAAAGAGTGCTCCTGGATTCTTTCCAGGAAATGCTTAAATATAACTTTGTAAACTTCGTAGGAACCCTGCTGTCTTCTTCTATGATGTTCTTTGATGGAATGGAGAAAGAAAAAGGACATGGGAGGAAAAAAGGGGGGCATTCTGTCTAGTCTCTGGTGTCCAGATGCTTCATTTCTCCTGAGAGAAATGGAAAAAAGATGATATTCAAAGATGTGTTACTTGAGTCTGATAACTTCAAGATATATATTTTTTTTTAGATCTACTCTTATTTTGTTTCTTAACTGTCTAAAAACACTAAAACAATTTTCTTGGAACATCACCAATGCCTTTAAGGGGTTCTTAAAGGGATGTTGTGCCATCCACTTTTTTTTCATTGTTTAATTTATTTGACTATACTTAAAACACAGAATGTTTGTAAAGTAAAGAGACTCTTCCAAAGACTCAGCATTGACCAGAAGAGATGTTTGAAACGTGTATCAATACCTTAAGAAAAAAGCTTTCTGACAAGAATGACTTATTGAATATCTCAACAACATAAGTGTCACTCCAGTGCATGGGATAGATGTGCAAAACAAAAAGGAAAAAAAAAAAGAGCAAACACATTGAAAAGTACTGTATCCGTCCGAGTTTACTGACATTTAGAATCACTTGTCCCACTTTTTATTTGTACCTTTTACTGTATATATTTATGGGAATATAAAAAAAAAACAGAAACAAATCATTTGGTTTTATAGATGAGCAAAGACAATGATAGTAATTTTTTTATATACTCCAGAGCCGTTGAACCCCAGCTGCATTTTTCTATAGGTGTGGATATTACCATAACTAATCCTGGTGTAATTGTTGTCGTGATCATGTCTTTTTTTTCTTGCGACAAGCGAAGGGCCCACTATTACTGTAAAATAATGAATTATAACAACAATAGCTGATGAATCTGTTGCATTGTCAGGTGTGGTTTGTCTTCGACGATATCAATGACTATTATTAAGGGGATGGTTAATAATTGTTTATGATCTATGTATGTGTGTTGAGCGGTAAAGTCTAGTTATAATGCCACTTTTTTTTTTTAAGACTCGGAAATGACTGTATTTAAGACAAAGACACTCCTGCGGTAAGAGCAACTCTCTAGCTGCTCACTTGACCTCTGACCCCCTTCCTCCAGACTCTTTTTAGGAAAAAAAAAAAAACAGGCCACTGGAATGTAATCCTAGTTTACTTTAAGTGTTTTGTTGTTGTTTTTTTAATTTTTTTTATTAACTATTAGTTTTCGAGGATCAAACTGCCGAAGGATGCAGCATGCAGGCAGTGGAGAGGAAAAAAAAGATGGCGGAATGACAGGACGGGCTCCGACTGAGCTGCTGTGGCCCCCTCTTGTGCCAGCACAGCAGCAGTGAACGCAACAGCCCGTCAACAACTATCAGTGTTCACTCAAAGGTTTTTGTTCCTTGTTTGCTATTGTTTTTTCTCTAAGCATGATGTCCTTTTTTTTTGGGTTGGAAAAAGAAGAAGAAAGATAATCACTCTGCTGTTTGTATGAATCAGAAACACCAGCTCAAGACAAACTCCTGTATTACACCAATACATTATTCTCAGTTGGAATCTCAGTGCATGCGTAAAATTCCTTGTACAAACCAAGATTTGACAGGAGTGGGGCGGCCATGATGTGCGGACGTTGGTGTGATTGCGATTTCTGGGAAAGATCAGTCAGTTTCTCCAAGCAGGGGGTGTAATTGCCCTGCTTTGATAAAGGGTGTCGAGAGGTTGTTATTTTTTTGTTGTGACTGTTTTTTTTTTGGGCGGGGGGGAGGGGGCAGATGCTAAACTGAACATAAGGTTGAGGACGGGAAGAAAGAAGGGTCAATATGTGTGTTGGAAACGACAAGGGAGGTATTTAAAAAGTGATTTAAAAAAAAGATAATAAATTGATATTAACACATTAACTTGGATTCATGTGTTTTAATTAAATTTTGTGTTCATGCAAGAAGGGAGCAAACAGTAAAACGTGTCTGAATATTTTCCTAAAGATACACTGTATTGCCAAAACAATTTGTTAACCCATTCATACTACTGGAATTTGGTGTTCCAATCACTATCGTGGCCCCATTTGTATAAAATGAATCACCTAGGCATGCAGACTGTTGTTACAAACATTTGTAAAAGAAAGAGTCTCTCTCAGGAGCTCAATGAATTCCTTTGTAGACCTGTGAGAGGATGCCACCTTTGGTTCAACCCAGTCATGAACTTTCCTCCTAAATATTCCACAGTCAACTGTCAGCTGTATTATAAGGAGCTTAAAGCTTTTGGGAATGACAGAAACTCCATGAAGTGATAGGCCACGTAAACTGACGGAGTGCTGATGGAGTGCTGTAGTATATAGAGTTTCCATGGTGAAGCAGCTGCATCCAAGACACACAAACCAAGTACAATGCAAAGCGTTGGATACAGTGGTGTAAAACACACAACGCTGGACTCAGGAGCAGTGGAGACACCTTCTCTGGAGTCACAGGTTGCTCTCCGCCATCTGGAATCTGATGAAGCTGTGGGTTTGGTGGATGCCAGGCAGTGATGGACGAAGTACTCAACAGTAGTACTGGGGTAAAAGTATTGATGCTCAAGGTAAAACCTCACTCAACTATAAGTTAAAGTTACTAAGTCAAACATATATTTAAGTTAAAGTATTGAAGTACTCACTTTTGAAAAGTACTTAAGTATGCAAAAATATAAATTAAATTTTCTAATATCCAAACATTTCTGTATAATTTTCAGTGCAATTTTAAAGAACCTTGTAACTTTCATAAAACCACCTGATGTATTGATGCGTATAACCACATTGCAGAAAATTCTACTCCACCTGTAAAGAACTTCAGCATAACCATACCATAAAAAATAAGGACAGCTTTTTTTTATTATTACTGTGTTTCTTATTTAAAGATAAACCAAAGAGAAAACAAGAGTGTCTCGATTCTTACACTTTCACTATAAAATAGAAATTTAAGGTTAAATCAATCAAACTAAAAATTTGATTTGATGACTTCATCCTACTGAACAACTTGGCCACGTCAAATCTCTAAAACAGTGGTGTCCAGATTCAGTCCTAAGGGCTGCTATCCTGCATGTTGAAATTGCATTTCAAAAAAGAAAAACAGCAACAGTGGATTACAAAACTGAGCTGAGCCAAAAGGACCAAGGAACTAGCAGCTTCCTAGAAACGGAATGGATTAAAAAGTACAGTATTTGACTTTGAAATGTAGTGGAGTTAAAGTTATAAGTATCTCTGGTGGTCAAAGGGCCCGGTGGCACCTGTGTATGGCAGCCTTGCTTCTGTCAGTTAGCCCCAGGGCAGCTGTGGCTACAATGTAGCTTTGCCAACATACAGGTGCTGGTCATAAAATTAGAATATCATGAAAAAGTAGATTGATTTCAGTAATTCCATTTAAAAAGTGAAACTTGTATATTATATTCATACATTACATACAAACTCATATATTTCAGATGTTTATTTTGTTTAATTTTGATGATTACAAATGACAACAAATGAAAATCTCAAATTCATCATATCAGAAAATTAGAATATTACTGAAGACCAATAAAAACAAAGGATTTATAGAAATGTTGGCCAACTGAAAAGTATGAACATGAAAAGTATGAGCATGTACAGCACTCAGTATTTAGTTGGGCCTCCTTTGGCCTGTATTACTGCAGCAATGCGGCGTGGCATGGAGTCGATCAGTCTGTGGCACTGCTCAGGTGTTATGATAGCACAGGTTGCTCTAATAGTGGCTTTTAGCTCTTCTGAATTGTTGGGTCTGGTGTATTGCATCTTCTTCTTCACAATACCCCATAGATTTTCTATGGGGTTAAGGTCAGGAGAGTTTGCTGGCCAACTAAGAACAGGGATACCATGGTCCTTCAACCAGGTACTGGTAGCTTTGGCACTGTGTGCAGGTGCCAAGTCCTGTTGGAAAATGAAATCTGCATCTCCAAAAAGTTGGTCAGCTGCAGGAAGCATGAAGTGCTCTAAAACTTCCTGGTATGTGGCTGCGTTGACCCTGGACCTCAGAAAACACAATGGACCAACACCAGCAGATGACATGGCACCCCAAACCATCACTGACTGTGGAAACTTTACACTGGACTTCAAGCAACGTGGATGAAGTGCCTCTCTTCTTTTCCTCCAGACTCTGGGACCTTGATTTCCAAAGGAAATGCAAAATTTACTTTCATCAGAGAACATGACTTTGGACCACTCACCAGCAGTCCAGTCCTGTTTCTCTTTAGCCCAGGCAAGACGCTTCTGACGCTGTCTGTGGTTCAAGAGTGGCTTGACACAAGGAATGCGACAGCAGAAACCCATGTCTTTCATACGTCTGTGTGTGGTGGTTCTTGAAGCACTCACTCCAGCTGCAGTCCACTCTTTGTGAATCTCCCCCACATTTTTGAATGGGTTTTGTTTCACAATCCTCTCCAGGGTGCGGTTATCTCTCTTGCTTGTACACTTTTTTCGACCACATCTTTTCCTTCCCTTCGCCTCTCTATTAATGTGCTTGGACACTGAGCTCTGTGAACAGCCAGCCTCTTTAGCGATGACCTTTTGTGTCTTGCCCTCCTTGTGCAAGGTGTCGATGGTCGTCTTTTGGACAACTGTCAAGTCAGCAGTCTTCCCCATGATTGTGTAGCCTATAGAACTAGACTGAAAGACCATTTAAAGGCTTTTGCAGGTGGTTTGAGTTAATTAGCTGATTAGAGTGTGGCACCAGGGGCCATCAATTTTGAACCTTTTCACAATATTCTAATTTTCTGATATGATGAATTTGAGATTTTCATTTGTTGTCATTTGTAATCATCAAAATTAAACAAAATAAACATCTGAAATATATGAGTTTGTATGTAATGTATGAATATAATATACAAGTTTCACTTTTTAAATGGAATTACTGAAATCAATCTACTTTTTCATGATATTCTAATTTTATGACCAGCACCTGTAAGTGTGTACATGAATGAGTTAATGACTTAATGTAATATCACTTGTAATGTCTTGAAAAATCACTATATTAGTACGGACCATTTACACTTGGTTAGGAAGAAGGAAAAATTTCTTCCCCATATTTTTTTCCTCACTTGGCCCTAATACTGACTTTCCTTCTCAGGGGCTTAAATTTGTTACTTCGGAGTACAAACAGAATGCACTAGGGCTGCAACTAATGATTATTTTGCTAATCGATTAATCTGTTGATTAAATAATAATCAGATAGCCAAAAGTTCCTTAAAGAAATTCTTTTTACAAAATAAAACTAGGTGAAAGAGTGGCTCAGGTTATCCTTAGCTATCTGTATAGTTATGCTGATATAAGCTTAGACTGGTGGAGGACATAGGGACCCATTTTTCATCATTCTGCTTCATTCCATCTCTATTCTCCCACTCTGCAGCATTTGTTAGTTCAATTTATTACATTATGCTCTCTGCTTTTTCTCATAGTAGCTTCATCTGGTATGTTCCTGTTTGGCTGTGACACCATCCTGGAGAGAAATAACAGCTGAGCTGCTGCAATCAACACCTTTGTTTATAGATGTTTGAGCTCAGCCTGCTTTTCACTGCAGTTCTGGTTCTCTGACTGTGACTGGCTGGATGTGTTCTCTTTCTCATCTGACGCCTCTGATCTTGTTGAATTGTATAGTTATTGCCTTGAAATGACATGTGTTGTGAATTGGCGCTATATAAACAAACTGAAGGTAAATTGATTTGAATTGATGAGGGGGCTGGCTCGGAGCTTGTTTGCCTGGCTGTGTGTTTCCGGGATGGGACCGCCTGTGGAGGTGGTTGACAGTTACCTTTTGTATCTCTGCTTCTTTCTGTATGTCTGCTTCTGTCTCCTTTGACCCCAGTCGGCCTCGGCATACTGAGTCTGGTCATGCTGGAGGTTTCTTCCTGTTAAAGGGGAGTTTTTCCTCTCCACTGTCGCTACAAGCGTACTAGGTGTGAAGGATTGCCTTTGAGTCAATGAGTCGATGCAATCAAGTGGTTTTCCTTTGATAGAAAACCTTGAATCAATTTGACTGTATGATCTGATTGAATTGTGTTAAAGATAAGCTCTGTGTATGCACCTTGAAGCTCTATCTCTCTGGTTCTCTTCCCTGAAAAGAGATCACTCAGGACAAACTCGGGACAGGGGAACTGTCTTAATTAGATAAACTATTGTGGAAAACATCAGTTCTGC